TTCATTGTCTGCATTTGCTGTATAAAGTCTTCCTTGAGACTCCAGATCATCTGAACTATGTATATCCTGAAATATTTATCTGACATTCCTTCTGCTGCAAATGTTACCTTCTCTAATGTTGAATTGTTGTGCATCATTTGTGTTCCTTTCTTTCCTTGTCTTTTCATACTGCTCACATTTCTTTCCAGCTCTGTGTGACTGTTGTGTTAATGTTTTTCCCCTATATATTTATATTGCTCTTTTATAGTTCCAAAATCTCTCTGATCAGCTGCAGAACCGCGCTGGTAGCCACTCCCACCGATAGATGGCATGTAAGGTTTTCCAAGCTGGATTCCGTCTGTTTCCCACGTAGGGTGTTTGGTGAGGTGGGGGGTGCTGGGGTGACCTTGTGCTGTATTCAGAGCTCGGTCTGGTGACCCGCAAGCAAATACTCTGCATTCTGCGCCTCCCCACTTTCCATCTGCGCGGTCCTTGCTGTGTGGGACCCCCAGAAGTTTCTTAAGCTATTTTTGTCTCCCCCTAACCCTTTTTTGGTGCCCCGATTGGATAATTTTTAGTAATTTGTTTTCAAGTTCACCAATCCTTCCTTCTGCTTGATCTAGTCTCATGTAGAATCCTTGTATTTAATTTTTCAGCTCAGATATAATATTTTTCATATCAGTGATTTCTCTTTGGTACTTTTTAATATTTTGTATTTGTTTTCAGGTTCTTCTTGCATTGCTTTTTTGAGCTCTGAATATCTTTATAGTATAATTTTTAAAATTTATTTTGAATTATTTGTTTTGATTCTCTGTTGCGTAAATAAAAAATTTATTTAGGTTGGTTGCTGAGAGTTTATTTAGTTGTTTTGTTTGGAATATATTCCCCTGGCTTTTTTTTTTTTTTTTTTTTAATTTTCCTTGAATCTCTATCTTGCTTTCTATGCATTTCATGTTGCAGCATCATCTTGGTGTACTGGCCTCATACAGGAGAGGTTTTTACCAGTCTGATTGGCCAGAGATTTTAAGATGCCTCTCAAGTTGTTGTGTCTGTCCAGACCACTCTTTTTGTTTTTGGAAGCATCCTGGAGCTGAGGACATGCCATGTCTTGTTGATATTCTGAACATGATATAATCACAGCCAGAGTTTTTAACTGGTGTAGAAAGATTTGGTGTTTTGTTACAGTGCTTTCTGTCCACACAGTGAAGCTGAGTATGGTTATGTGTCTGTCTCTTTCTTTGCATTAAGATGGGGAGAAGGGCCAGGCATGTTGGCACATGCCTGTAATCCCAGCGGCTTCGGAGGTGGAGGCAGGAGGTTCTGGAGTTCAAAGTCAGCCTCAGCAAAAGCAGGGCGCTAAGCAATTCAATGAGATCCTGTCTCTAAATAAAATACGGAATAGGGCTGGAGATGTGGCTAAGTTGTTGAATTCCCCTGAGTTCAATAGCTGGTATCAAAAAAAAAAAAAAAAAAAGAAGATGGGAGAGGAGCTGGGGCTGGGGCTCAGCAATAGAGCACTTGCCTAGCACATATGAAGTACTGTGTTCGATCCTCAGCACAACATAAAAATAAAGAAACAAAATAAAGGTATCATGTCCATCTACAACTAAAAATATATATATATTTTAAAAAAGATAGGAGAAGATCTGTGGCAGTTGCCTGTAGTTACTGTTAGGCCTGAACCTTCTGATCCTGGACGTATAACTGCTAAAAGTATACCCATTATGTGACTACCTTGTTGTTTTTCTGTGGTCTTGAGTCACTCAGGATTGCCAATTCCTCTTGACTTCAAGACTAGGTTGTTAAAGAGACAATTCCTTAGGTGGGCAATGTGGACGTTGTACTTGGTGAATGACCACACTCATTGCAGAAAGCAAGTAGGCCTGGATTTATTTCTGGGAGAGGTTTTCTGTAATGGCTAAGCTTTGGTCCCAGCTACCAAAAGCCTACTTAGTTTGTTTGCCTTATTAGTACTCCATACAAAGTTAGCTAGAAACTAGGCCATAAAGTAACTAACCGCAGCAATTATGTGCTATATGCCTCTTTCAGAGAGAAAATTAGAGCCTCACTTTCCTGCCCTCATTCTGCTCTGTTCCTAGGGTGTGCAGCCCTAGGAAGTGCTTGGACTCCCTTTAAAAACTAGCTCCTTGCACTGGGGATGTGGCTCAAGAGGTAGTGCGCTCGCCTGGCATGCGTGCGTCCCGGGTTCAAAACCTCAGCACCATATACAAACAAAGATGTTGTGTCTGCCCAAAACTAAAAAATAAATATTAAAAAAAAAATTTCTCTCTCTCTCTCTCTCTATTTAAAAAAAAAAAAAAAACAACAAAAAACTAGCTCCTTATTCTGCAATCAAGGAATACTAGTGTATGTATAGACCCTTCTAGTCCCAGAGCTACCAAGTTTAGGATGGTGTCCTTTTGTTCATAGTTTTTAAAATTGGGATTTTCAATGTGTGTACCAAATTTCCTTTGGAAAAGAAACACGATGTTACCTTGTTTTAAGCTCCTTTTCTGCACTGTTCCAGGGGCATGAAGGTGATTACATGCCCATATTAAAAAAAAAAAAATACAACCTTTTCTATAGTCTATAGAGATGTGTATTTTATTCCCTTCTTCTTCCAGAACTGGAGAGATTTAGGATGTGGTTCCTTAGGTGGATATTGTGAGAGTTGGGGCACTTTGTGTATACAGGCTTCTTCTAGACTGGCAGTGGGTTAATAATTGACTTTTTCTTCTGCTCCTCAGTGCAAGTCAATTAAAAGCAGAAAGCAACCAGATGTAGTGGCACCTGCCTGTAATTCCATTGTTTTAGATAGAAGTATTACAAGTTTCAAGCTAGCCTGGGCAACTTAGACCCTGTCTCAAAATAAAAAATAAAAAGGGTTGTATATACATATGCTCAATGGTATAATCCCCTAGGTCCAATCCCCAATACTGTGTTTTTTAAAAAAAGAGGAAAAAAAGCCAGAATTCAATAGGTGCTGCAGGGGTGTTTTGTACATTTTTTTGAAAGATGGAGAGGGAGAAACCTCTTCTCTGTACTGCTCCCAGGAGGGTGAAGTCCCAGTTTCGGCTTTTGTACCTGAATAAAACCCTACTTATTTTTCTGGGTTCTAGAAAGATCTTGTTTATCTAGTCTTCTCCTGCTCCCATAGTTGATGAAGTAAGAAATTGTGGAGATTCTTAGGATTATAGCATTATATGTGAAGTCTAGACTCTCTTCTCCATAGGAGAATACTTGGTGTTGGACATTCCTTTCCCAATTTTATGGTGTAGTTCCCAAGGGTAAGGTTTATACCTGAGTGTGCCTTGGCTTTCCTCACATGTTTGATATGGAGATTTTTTGAGTTGTCCAGTGGTTGGAAGTCTCTCCACTGATTTCTGACTTTCTCTTAAGGAGAATTGATTGATTGATAGGTGCTTATTTTGTGTTTCCAAGAGTAGAAGGAGAATCAGGAGTTTCCTATTCTGCCATATATGTATTCCCTTTCAGTTTCTTACTGATTTTAATAATTGCTTCTAATTACATAATTTTTTAAAAAATTCTTTGAATATAACATACTTTTCTTAATGTTCTGATAAGTAGGCTTCTGCAAGTGAAGTTTTTTTGAGTTTATATCTCACATGCTATCACAGCCTTCCTTGATTTGGTTTTAGTTATCTGTTCATCTTATGACTATGAATCCTACATATGTGGCCCCACTTAACTACTCTGGTTATATGTTCTCAAGATGACTTCAGCTGGATTTCTTTGACCCTGATCCTCTAAGAGTTCATTTCTTGATACTGAATATGGTTTTGTTTTCATCAGCATATTTTTTTAAACATTTATTTTTCAATTATAGTTGGGCACAATACTTTTATTTATTTATTTTTTTATTTTTATGTTGTGCTAATGATCAGGGCCTCCTATGTGCTAAGCGAGTGGTTCTACCGCTGAGCTACAACCCTAGTCCTTCATCACCATATTTTTAATCATCCTTTGTTTTTAGGGGACTATTGCAGGGTAATGGGGTATTGTTGTTGTCCCACTGTCATCTTGAAACTGGAAAGTAAAGCCAGAGAGCTATTTACAAATGCATCAGAATATTATGACCAGTAAAATTTGTAAATCTGAACAGATTGTAGCCAATAACTTGCTATATTTAAATAATATATTTATTTAATGTATGACATAGGAATATCTAAATTACCAGTTTCTGATATTTTTACAAATTTTTGGGCCACTTTCTGTCACAATTATTTCATATTCTCAGATTGTAAGTTATTTTGTTCATTTATCTGTTCACTTAGTCTTAGGTTAAAATGTCATACTTGAAGAAGCTTAACCTAAATCCCCAAATGTATGACATACTTCCCTCTTTTGCCTCCATAATGCTGTATGCATAGTTTTGTCTTTAAGAACAATTTAACAAAATTAGTGTCTGTTTCCCCCACTAAAATGTAAGTTTCATGAGGACAGAAACTATTTTTTCATTATATGCCTGGTACTTGGTTTCAGTGCCTAATATAGGTTAGGCTAATCATTAAATATGAAATTGAACCTCAATTCACTTTATTTTCAGTCCGAAAATCTTGTTTTAAAGTTCTGTAGTTAGATTTGCTCCTGGTAATCCACCATGATCTAATCTTTTCATTTGTGTATGTTTTATGTTTTTTATTAATAAATAGACTTTAAAACTGTCAAATGATTTAGAAAATATATATTTATACTTTAAAGGATATTTTATTTAGGAATATTTTTCTGTTTTTTGTTTCTTTGTTTTTGCAGTGCTGGGAATTGAATAGGATCTCACACACATAAGGCAAGCACTTTGCCACTTAGTTACATCTCCCTCAATACAGCCCAGTACTTTGCTTTAATATAACACTAACCCAAAGAGTACACTACTTTTGTGTTACAGCAGTATAATAAATAAATATTAGTTGTATATAAGGTAACTTAGAAATTAGATCTAAAACTAGGAAACATTACATATATAATTCATCATAGATTTAAATGTTGTTTTCTTTTCTTAGTTCATTTCAAACAAACCAGTTTACTGGAATGGTGTATCAGACAGTACTGCTTCCTCATCGACATTCCTTGAGAACAGGAAGCTTAGATGAAGCAATAACTCCCAATACATCACCATCTCAATGGCCAGGTATAAATAATTTGTATATGAATGAGTTCTTTCTGAGTCTTTTAAAATCAAATTTGGGTTGTTTTTGCCATATGATGATCATTGTTAAATATTGCCAGAATTGACAACAGTTGATCATTCACCACTTATGACGAATTCTGCAGTTACCTAACATTAGTATTTCCTTGATCATTATACTGAAATAACTCAAGTCTTTTGTTATATTTTTTAAAAAATTTTGCTCTTCTCATAATATCAAAAATTATGCCATTGAATTTTTATATCTGATATTTGAGTCAGACTGCAGATTTTCAGTGTTTAAATAGAATAGCCCAACATTTGTTTATTAACTATGATAACTTTTACTGGTTAAGAATCTAGTGAAGAAAATATTGAATCCTGATTTGGTATAATTTTTCAAGAATTAGAAAAAATACAGTTAATTTTTAACTTAAAAATTTATCATCAATGGCAGCTATGTTTGTTGTTTGTTCTTAGGAATAACTTGTCTAATTAGACTTTTGAATTCTTCTGGTGAGGAAGCCCAGTCGGGACTTACAATCTTACTCTGTGAGATTCTCACAGCAGTATATCTTAGCCTCTTCATTCATGGCCTGGCAACACATTCTAGTAATGAACTATTTCGGATTGTGGCCCATCCCCTAAATGGAAAACTGTGGTCTGCTGTATTTGGTGGAGGTGCACATGTTCCCAGCAAAGAACAGGTGCACTCAAAAGCTTTACGCGGTGAGTTTTTAGTCTTTTTTCTTTGTTTTTTTAAGGCTGAAGTTTTATTTATTTATCAAAATGGTTACTTTGTCAAACGTAATTACATTTTAATTTACTCACAGAAAACTCTTATTAAATACCATTTCTTAAAGCATGAGCAAAAAATTTTATGATGAAAATGAATTAAAATCTCTGGTGCCATTTTCACTCTTTAAGGTATTCCTGCACCAGTGATTAGAGTTATCAAATGCAATTTTATTAAGTCTTTTACTATTGAAACTTGATTTGTTTTGAAATATACTGTAACACTGGTTTTTGTTCTATCCCAAATACAGATTCTCTCTTCTTTCTTTGGCAGGAAGGCACTTTGCTGTGCCTAGTCCCCACCAGGTAGTGGTATTCTCCATGGAATGTGTGGGCTTTTCCAAAGCTCTTTCAGCCATCAGTTCTCATAGCCCTCCCAGTCTTGCAGGCAAGATATTAGTTTTAGAAATAGGCTTTTATGATTCAGCTTGCTTTGTGTTGTTTTAGAGGGGTTGGTGTAGAGTGGAACAGTTTCATTTTGTTTGGCATTTTTGGAAAACTGAGAATTTTCCTTTAATCAAGCCATATTTTTGATTTAAAATAATGGTTAGCATTTTCCAAAACTATTAACAGCTATTTGTTCTGCTTTCAAATTCTCCAATTTGGATATTTTATATCACTTAAACTTTAACATTTATAAATGTGTAAAAATAAAAAAAAACTCAATGCTAATCATGAGAAATCAGGCTATGGCTTGAAATGACTGGAAAAAAAATTCTAAATGAGGCTGCTTTTATGACTTGCATATTATAATTCTTGCCATTAGGGTTTTGGATTTCTAAGTGTTTATAGTACCATGAAAAGTTAAATATTTTAAATAATTATATTCCCTTTTCATCTCTAATGTTAAAATTTTATATATTACATTTATTTAAAATTTGAAACAGCAAACTTTCTCAATTTGAAAAGAATCTTTATAATGCTTTCTGACTTTTTTGTTTTTGTCATTTATTGACCCATAAGTGATAACCTTGACTTTCAAATTATGAAAATTATAGGGTATAGATTTATGAATTAATATATAGCTCTGGAAAGCCTGATTCATCCTATACTGGCATTGAATAAGTAAAAACAAAATTGTTAATGATTTTCAAAATCTAAGCCCTACACACACATTTGAGAAGTTCAGCAAAATTATTTCTTTTTTTTTTTTTAAAGGCTTTCTGAGTTAGCCAACTATAATTATCTTTTTTTTTTTTTTTTAAGAGAGAGAATTTTTTTATTTTATTTATTTTTTTTTAGTTTTCGGTGGACACCTCATCTTTGTTTGTATGTGGTGCTGAGAATCGAACCCGGGCTGCACGCATGCTAGGCGAGCGCGCTACCACTTGAGCCACATCCCCAGCCCCCAAAATTATTTCTTTATGAGTTTTAGTACACTTCTTTTCCACCATCTACATTCAACTTATACATGTACTTATGTGTATTTGTGAGCTTGCATATTTATGTGTTCAAAGTCCAACAATTGAGAATTTGATTGGCTTCATTGCTTTAAGAATAAATTATTGCCAAAATCTACACCATGATTGATAAATTATGTCTTTCTCTCCCCACTCCCCTATAATTTGTTGGTACTTGAGATTAAACCTCATGCTTGCTAAGCAAGTAGCCTATCACTGAACTACATCCCCAACACTTTTATTAGTTTATTTTAATACAAGGTCTCATAAGTTGTTCCAGTTGACTAAAACTTGTGATCTTCCTGCATCAGTCCCCAAGTAACTGGACTTACAGGTGTGTGCCACTGAACCCAGCTGCTAAAATTGTTTGAAGCTAATATTAAAAGTTAGAAAAGTAGTTATTTTGTTAAAATATTAAATAATTATTAATAGCATTCATTATGCTTCCCCAAAGCAGTTTCCACTAAATAGTGGTCCACATCATGATACAACAAAAAGTCCTGGTAGCCAAGATTCCACTTTGTCTTCTTTTTTTTTTTTTTTAAATGGTATCTTTTCTTTTTTTTTTTTTTTTAATATTTATTTTTTAGTTTTTGGCGGACACAACATCTTTGTTTGTATGTGGTGCTGAGGATCGAACCCAGGCCGCACACATGCCAGGCGAGTGTGCTACCGCTTGAGCCACATCCCCAGCCCCACTTTGTCTTCTTAATTGGAATTTTTTCTTTTTTCAGTTACTTAGTATTTTCTTCTTTCTAATTCAGGTTTCTTCCCCGCTCCCAACAAAAATAAATAAATAAATAAAAATGAAATCTCCCAAACCAAGCAAGGATTCTGTCCTTTATGAGATTAATACTTATAATAAAGAAAATTTATTTGTAAATTTAAGCAAAAGTCAGTCAACATTTTTTCACTAAAGGGACCTTTTGGTGTCCCCCAAGTGTTACATGCCCTTGCAGCACAAAAGCAGCCTTATAAAGTATGTAAACAAATGAGTATGACTATCTTCCCTCCGCACACAAAAAAAATCTTTACAAAAATATGTTGTAATTTGGGCTGGGGTTCTGGCTCAGTGGTAGAGTGCTCACCTAGCACGTGCAAGGCACTGGGTTTGATCCTCAGCACCACATAACATTAATAAATAAAATAAGGGTGTTGTGTCAAACTATAACTAAAAAAAAAAAATTAAAAAAAATATGTTCTAATTTGACAGCCCCTGCTTTAGAAGTAGAAGTAGTTTGTCAGTGCTTCATTGGAATAAAATACTTGCCTTCTTTGTTAAAAGAATTTCAGTTTTTAAGAACTAAAGTTATTGTTACTAGGTATGGCATGGACTTCACGTTGGATCTCTTCCAAGTATTTGATGTAATTTCAAAATAGGACTTGTGCAATAGGACAAATAGCAACAGAGAATAATTCATAATCTTTACTACCATGGCCCCTAATTTCCTTTAACAAGTTCAGGATCCAATTCAGTTTTGGCTCTTTTAAACTTCTGAAAATATACAAGGTAAATGGCTTCTTCTCAGACCTCCTAGTATCTTGCCTGGTATTTATCTACCTACCACACTTTGCTTCCTGCTCTGATCATTGTTTTCTCTCTCTGGTCCATACCCTTTACCCTAAATTAAACTTTTTTCTTCTGCCTTTCCTCCTTAAGAACTTTAAATTTCAAATACAAATTTGGCATTTTCAAATGCAGGTTTATTTATTAAATTCACCTTTATATATTAAAATAATAAAAATTTTATTTGTCATATCTCTTTTCTGGTTTTTAAAAGAGTTATTTCCTGTGATTTCTGTTTTTTTGTTTCAGTTAGAAAGAAATTTTATATGAAATTCACCTTGAAAAAAACTTTCACAATCTACAGGAGTAAGATTTATAGGTCTATTGATTTTAGTATAAAATAATTGGTAAATTAATTTGGGCTCTTTTTTTTAATTTTCTGAAAAAAACATTTAAGACTCTAGTCTTATTAATATGAAATGTTAAAAAGGGATAAATTCTTGCTAAGGAATGTCCACATGTGTGTAAAAAAACAAAGAAAGAAAGAAAGAAAGAAAAATACATTCTCATTAACTAGCCATCAGGTCTCAGTTCCACCCATTTTTGCTATACAGGGATGTATGAAAAATCTTACTCAAAGTCCAGGTTGGTCCTTGTTTGACCACTTGGATTTATTTGTTTGCTTATAGGCAAAAATACTATTGCATAAATAATTTTTCAAATACCATTATAAGTACCTTCATAATCTATATCCTACCATTAACTGAATCTCAAATAATAAAAAATATCAAGTGACCAGAAATTATTTGCATCTGTTTAACATCTTGTTTTGGCAAACATGATAACCAAATAAACATGTTTATTTAGTGGTAAGGCTGAATGTAGTCACATCCAGGTTTTGGTGTTCATCTGTCTTTGAGAACCCAGAAATTTATTTTAAATACAAGCAGTCATGCATATAACTATAGGAGCACTTAAAGAAAACATGAATGATGTGATTTATCATTTTTTTTTAATCAGGAAAAAAAAAACATGTTTACCCATTAAAGGATAAAGCTAAAAAGGCTTGTTGGAGCTAGTCAGAGAGAAGAAAGGGTAGGGAGGAAGGAAGAGGGAATAAGTTAAGAAGGGAAACAGTGATAGTGAAGGTAGTAATAGCAATTAGAAACAGCAGTGTTGTGAAGCAGATCTTGTAAAAGCTATGGAGAGAGAATCTGACTGCTGAAAATCAAACAAGATAAAGGACCAGCAGTAGTGATTTTCAATATGAAGTAAAATTCTGAAATCTCAGTTTTTGAAGACATTATTAAATTCTTAAAACACACCAACACAACCCTGCAGCTGATAAATTTTAGATTATATGTAAGCAGCCCTGCATGTATGGATTATTATAAAATATAATCATGATATCCTAAGGGTCTCATTGCATTAAATAGTGATCAATATACATTGTTGACCAAGAGGATGAAATAACATATTTAGAAAAGTGGTTCTGAATTTGGCCAAAATTAACATAAAATTTTTGGCTTTTAAATTTTATCAAATGAAAACTGACAAGTCTGGAATATTTCATTTTCCTAAAAATCCTGTTAGTATCAAACTATTGTGTATTGAAGATGAACTACTTGCTTAGAACCCCTAAACGTCTGTTTTCTAAAAAGTGTTTTCAAAAGCTTGGTACTAATACAAGAATTTGAAAGTCAGCATTTGTTTTTCCCTTCTAATATAAATTCTTTTCTTTGCAATAATGGTCTCATGAATTAAATTATTTTTTTTCTTTAAGTATCTGTCATATACTTAATGCACCAATTATTTTAGAGACATAATATTTAAACACAAGCTTTGTAATTTAAGAAAATGATAAATTTTACTAGATTGTAGCTTGGCAGAGCAGAATTCTTAATGAAAATTTTAACATATAAATTAGTCTAAGTTTAAATCTTATTTTTGTGAATTTTAAATCATAAAATTAGATTTTTCTAACTAAACTGTAGTAAAGGTGGTATGTATGTACATGGAGTTCTTAATAAGTTTGTCATATGGTTAATTATAAAGTAGAGCATTTGCTAAACAAATAGAAATTTTTAAAAAATATATTTTTGTTTTTTGGATAACAGTTAGAAATCCATACTTTTGCTTTTTATTGCATACTGTAAAGCAAAGCAAAATATTTTTCTTTTATTTTAATAATATTTATTGCATTTGTGATTATTTGCAATTAAAAGAATTGTAAATTGTCTTATAAATTTATAGTGATGACTTTTGTCTACAAAGTGAAGAATGAAATATAAAATGAATATTTTATTTGCAGTAAACATACCATAAGTTGTTTTTTTTTTTAAACTATGAGGCTGCTAATGACAGGTATTCTAAAGACATTTTAAACTATATTTTTAGCATTTTATTATTTATGATAAATGTAGATCAGAAAATCCGTATTTTTCTTTTTCCTGTAAAACTTGTATAAAGATAAAAGTTCAGTATTCAGTGATTATCACATATTATATTCTGTATTTCGTGATTATCACATGTTGTTGCTGTCATTCCTTTAGCAAAATAGCAAAATTTCTTGACCAGAAAGGTAAGACTTCATATTTAAAATTGGTATTTAAGATACAATTGAACAGGGCTAGGTTGTGGCTCAGTGGCAACTGCTCAACTAGTATTTTGAGGCACTGGGTTCGATCCTCAGTGCCACATAAAACAGTAAATAAACAAAATAAAGGTATTGTGTCCATCTACAAAAAAAAAAGAAATCTTTAAAAAAAATACACACACACACACATATATATATACATATATATATATATATATATGTGTGTGTGTGTGTGTGTGTATGTATATATATAAAATCAAACATGCCAACGGCTTTTAAACTGGTGATTTATTATCAAGAACTGTTAAAAGATTGACAACAAAAGAATATGTAATTTTCCTAGGGAAGGGAATACATTTTTTTGTTAGTGTCTCAAATGTACTTTGTGTGACGGCTGTATAACAAAAATTTAAGTTTAAAAACCATTCCATTTATTAATTTTATAAAATTAGAGAAGACAAATTCTTATATAATATGGGTAGAGAAAGCATAAAGGTTGAATCTCTAACAAATGCACAGTTCTAGACTTTTACAGAAATTTTATTCCTAAAACTAGATGACAAATCAAAGTTTTTGTATAATTTTAAACAAAACGAAATACCTATCTTACCTAGACTTCATTTAATATTTCTGATACTGAACATATTATCTTTCTCCCAACCTTGTTTTCTAATATTTTTGGCAGTCCCAACTCCTGCAGCAAAATGACTTTTATGTATTTCCTTCATTCTAATTGGAGAGTGAGGGTACTGGGAATCAAATCCAAGGCCTTACACATGGCAGGCAAGTGCTCTACTACTGAGCTACATCCCTAGCCCTAATTCTATACATATATATTTTTTTCTTTAGTCTGATGTAAATTATGATTGAAAAAAAAACATCAAATTTGCCATGTTAACTTTTTTATGTGTATGACCAGTAGTGTTAAATATATTCACATAGTTGTGAAACAGATCTTCAGAACTTTTTCATCTTGCAAAATCTGAAACTATATCCATTCAACAACTCTCCTTTTTGTCTTGCCCCTGAACTTTTATAATCACCTGCTTAGTTTCTGTTTCCAGAAATCTGTCTATCTTAGATAATGCATATAAGTGTAATTATACAGCATTTTTCTTTTTGTGACTGGCTTATTTTATTTAGCATAACATCCTCAAGGTTTATCCATTTGTAGCATGTGACAAAATTTTCCTCCTTTTTAAGGCTGAGTAATATTCCACTGAATGTATAAGTTTCATTCAAATTTTCAATAAAATTTGTTGAGTTTGAGCTGAAATCTTACAGATAGAACAATATTGTGGCCCTTGGAGTGATTGAAAACTGAGTAATACTGTAGAACAGTGATCTCTGGACTTCTAATTACATAGTCCTGTCCACAAAACATTACTGAGCAATCCCCTAATGTATGCATATTTATATGTCATATTATTGGTCAGATATGAAACACTGACAAAATATTGTTTTTTTCCTCGTTTTAACACTTCAAGATACAAGGTAATGTACATGTAATGATTCTGGGAAAATCCTGAGAATCAAACAAGCTTTCTAGTATCTGGATAGTATCACATGTTAGACTTTTTTTTTTTAATGTCATTAACCTTATTCTTTGAAGATTGAAGAATACCTTTAATTCACTGCTTCTTTAATCTTTTCTCTTTTGAAATCTTTGAAGTTTACTTGTAAAAGTGTTATACATTTAATTTTGAGGATTTGTTTTTATACTTAATTTGTGTTCATATACATTTATACTACCCTTTTTACCTGAAGTGCCCCAGTGATAAAAGAAAGTGAATATATACCTGAGATTGAGGATTTGGACTGATTTGTTTTGTTGAAAGCAAGGAATGAATATGAAATCTATTTTATCTTAAACTTTAACTACATGGCATTTATATTGTCTATATCTGTATTTCTCTCAACATAAAATATTTTCAACCATTAGTTAAGTAATTTACCTTCTCCGTATCTATTGGTGCTATATTTGAAGGTCCAGGATGATATGCCCCCTGAAGTTTCATTTACCTCTCACACTCAGTAGGATTTGATTGAAAAGTAGAGAGTGAGGTGGTTCTGCTGATTAAGTTCAGTTTTTAAAGAAACAATATTTGAATGTATAGTCAGAATATTAATTTCATTGTGTCTGTTTTATAATAGTAAACTGAAATTAGAAATATTGACAATAACCTTCCTATTACGTTTGAATTTTAATCACAGTAATATATGTGTGTTAGTGAACAAGTAGTATAGTAGAACTTATTACAAAAAGCAGCATTATCATTCTTATTTGTCTAATACTTCTCATTCCCATTCCTTGAGGAATCTTTCCTTAGACATAGCCTCTTAATCATTTCTCCATTTCTGTTTTGAGATTTTTTCAGAGTTTCTTTTACAGTTCTAAGAAAAACAGTATAGAATGTGCTGAGGGTAAAAAAAAGTTTCTTAAGGGAAGGAAGGTATATTAGTCTCCATAGTCTATAATCTTGACATGAAAGCCTGCTTTTGGAACTACTTTCTATGTACAAAAGCAACTGAGAAATGCACTTTTTAAATTTATGTCAGAACTTTTCTTAGTTGTCTGACATTTCTCCATGTATGCCGTCATTTTTCTTTAGCCACTTTTTAACCTCTCCATCCCCCTTATAATTCATAAACTCTACATACAAGTTCCTCTTCAGTTTTGTTTTTAGGATGTGTAATAGTAGGTATATTGGAAACTTGATTTTGATTATCAGATATTAAGAACAAAGAAAAATTTACACATTTAATATGATAATTATTTTTAAAGTAATTTGAAAGATTAAGTAATAATGATACCACTATTTATATTCTTAGAATACTAACATTTTTTTAAATCTTTCTTGTTTTCTGAAATAACCAAATTACTGTACTAAACTCAGAGCTTGACTATAGCTTGATATATTTGCATGTGCATGCTGTGTCTGCAAGCTGAGTAGCTTTAAACAATAAAACATTGTATTACAGTACGAATTTTATATCCCTGTTGGGAGGTAAGTTAAATCTCATTGGAACCATTGAAGAATATTGGTATGCCTATAATGTGAATTATTTGCTATATGTTACAAAATACTTGATTCTCTACAGGTTATCTGCTGCTTGTTTTGGGGATTGAACTCAGGGCCTCTTGCATGCTAGGCAAGAGTTCCACCACTGAGCTACACCCCTGGCTGGGCAATTTGCTACTTATGACTTAGTGTTGATTAAAAATTTGTCAGACTTTTTTAATGCTAATGTCTTTAGGATTCTAGAGTAGAATACTTACTAATTATGAAGAATGTTCAGAAAGTAAAACAGTAAAGATTGCATTTTCTCTTTATTCTTTGTATTTCCATTGACTATAAAATTCCATCTCTGAACCATTTCCAAAGATATGAATCAGTTTAAATAAGTAATCATAATACTCAAATTTTTAATTTTTTTAGTGAAAATGAAGTTTTATATTAGATATAACGCCAAGTGATTATTGAAGATCTCAAAAATGAATTGTTGCCTTTAATTAATATTGACATTCCATCATGTGCTTTAAAAAACAAAGTTGTGGCTGGGGAGCGTGGTAGTTCAATGGTAGAGCATGTGCTTAGCATGCATGGGACCCTGGATTCAATCCCCAGGAAGCCACCCACTTCATTCCCCTGACACACACCAAAAAACAAAAAACAAAACAAAACAAAAAACTTCCAAGTAGATGGGTATAGTAAATGTCTTTCCATGTTTATAGATAAATTGTGGACCTGCTTACAAACAGACATTATATCCTATTATCCTATATATACAGTTGATAAGTCAGCATTCAAAGAATTTAGATAAAAGCAGAGGTTTCTATACAAAGAGTTTTTTGGCTCACTTCCCCTACCTATTTTCTTATCTGCTCTATACTTTCATAATCATATCTTGGTTTTTTTGTATATGCTTATTTGTAGTTACACTTAGGTGAAATAACTACAATGAAAATAGTACTTACTTTAATAATACTTTTTCTTCTTAGTTTCTTCACTAGTTGAAGAAGGCGAAAAACAGAACAAACGTTTTAGGCCATCAAAAATATCTTGCAGAGAATCTGCCCCACTGACCTCCTCCTCACCACCGGTAAGCCAGGAGTCATTGTCAGTCAAAGAGAAGTTCATCCCTCCTGAACTCAGTATCTGGGACTATTTCATTGCCAAGGTAATAAAAGTACTGTCTAGATCAATAATTACATGATGAAATGGAAATAAAGGTGTTTAAAATAAGTGTACTTGTTGGTGCTTCCAGATATCTTTCTACAGTGCTTTAGAAGATTTTTTTTTTTTTTCTGGTATCAGGCTACATTAAAAAAAAAATCCTAAAATACTTATTATAATGTTTGTTTTAACTATGTGTGTTTGTATATAAATAAGTTTGAAGGTGGTTTTTCATAAATTATGATTTCAGTATTTTAAATAAAATAAAGTTGTTAAATAAGAAGAGAACTTATTTAACACTTCATTGTTAATGTGATGGATAGGGGTTTAAGAACAAAGATCACGTTTGTGCCCTGATCATCTATCATCATGCTCATTCTTTTCTTTTTTTCCCCCAGTGCTGGGGATCAAACCTAGGGTCTCCTTCATGCTAGGCAAGTGCTCTACCACTAAGATATATCCCTAGCTCCTCATTCTTTTTTAATACTACAGACAGTCCCATGTTGTTTTGACAGATACAAATTTCAGCACCAGTGTTGAGCTGAATAACATTACCTCCATATCATGATTCAAATTTAATTTACAATAGTATGAATAAATGAGAATAATTGCATGAAGTATAAATTTTCCTGTTATCTCTTTATTTCACCGAATAGTATGTAAATAACAGAAAAATCTCATGATCAGGAAACAGTCACATCAATTCTTTTGAATTTTGTCAGTGATTAATCATTTAACACTATTATTCAGTTCACACATAGCACAGTATGTAGTTATTTTTTTTGTCTCCCAAGATAAACTCTTGATATTTTACAAAATTAGATAACAAAGAGGGAACTGATCAACTGAAATGAAAATGAAACAAACAAAAAAGAGTAATAGTGCTGAGAATAAAATTCAAATTCAACATAAATGGAATTATAGAAAATATAAATAGGGGGTCTGGAGTTGTGGCTCAGCAGTAGAGTGCTCGCCTAGCATGTGCAAGGCGCTGGGTTCGATCCTCAGAACCACAGAAAAATAAATAAAATAAAGGCATTGTGTCCAACTACGACTACAAAAAATATTAAAAAAGAAAAGACAAGAAAATATAACTGGAAATGTTGACATTGCTGCCATTTGAAAGAGTGCAGATATACAGACAGGAATTTAGTGAGGATAAACTTATCAATATAAATATAGGAAGTTGTTAGGAAAGGATGAAAATGTTCCAAAGATAGTAGTGTTGACAAAAATAAATAAACCAACCAACAACAAACCCCTTCACATTAAAGAGATATATAACATTAAAAGTAGAAAGAGTAAAATACTAGAAGCTGACACAAACTTATAAATATGACAGTTTCTAAAGTATAGAAAAGATGGTTGCTTTATAAGTTATAGAGTTAGAAGAAGGCAAACACTCTTCAAACTATACTATATATATATCCTTTGGAAGCTTTTTACAAATGAAACACTTCTTAATATTTCTAATATTTAAATTACAATTTACTTAATGCTTTCCTATTTTATAAAATGTTGTTTATACATTTATACCCAACAGTAAGAACTTTTAGTGTTTTGACAAATATTTTTAAAGGTCACAGAACACTTGTGATTGTTCCCATTGATTTATTTTTTTTTAAAGAGAGAGAGAATTTTTAATATTTATTTTTTAGTTTTTCGGCGGACACAACATCTTTGTTTGTATGTAGTGCTGAGGATCTAACCCGGGCCGCACGAATGCCAGGCGAGCACGCTACCACTTGAGCCACATCCCCAGCCTCCGCATTGATTTTTAAGATGTATTGTATGATTTCTATTTGCATAATATCTCCCACCCCTAACCTGGATACTGGGGATTGAACCCAGGGGCCTTCTACCACTGAGCTATACCCCCAGCCCTTTAAAAAATTATTTATTTTGATACAAGGTCTCACTAAGTTTGGAGGCTGGCCTCAAACTTGTGATTTTCCTGCCTCAGTCTGCCAAGTAGCTGGGATTATAGTTGTACACTACCACACCCAGCATACAGTACTGTGTTACTGTACAAAGCAAGGACTACCTACCTTCTACCTTTCATCTGATTAGACAAATTCTTCATATCTTAAACTTCTAGATGTTCTTTTTACTGCCTTGTATTAATTGCATCTAACTATTCTCGGATGACACTAAGCCCAGGCCACAAAACCTTTTATTTTATTTTATTTTTTTATAGCCAACATGATTCAGGTAATGAAAGGAGTGTTTGCCTCTTTGTTCTTCATTGCCTTTTGCAGAGTCATTTGTTCATTGAACAGATGTTTAGAAAGCATTTTATCTGTGAATGTCTTTATTTCATTTTGATTTTTGAAAGATATAGGATTATATTTAGCAAGATTTTATTTAACTGTCTTGTTCCTGGATTTCCTTGTTAAATTTATGGCTGATCTGCCCTGTTCCAGTCAATATTGCAACCAAAGGCTAGTTGAGATGTTAATCGTCCCTAATTATTTGAGTCTGAGGTATCTATTGTTTTTGATAATGCCCGTGGACATGAAATTTTAAAGCTAACCCCATCTTGAGATGAAAAAGGAGTGGCTCCTGACCAACATGCCAGATTCTCTTGGTTTTATTCAGATTCAGTAGATTTTCTTAAATCTTCTATGTACTATGTGCATTTGGTCAATTTGCTGTGCTTGTTTTTGAAAACTTCCTTACTCAGCTATTCCAGAAGTTCCACCCTGCATGCTGTGTTGCATTTCCCTCAAGCTAATATTTTATAACTTTTTGAACTTCCTACATCTCCTGTTCCATTCTCTCCTTGCTATCTCCCACCCATCCCAGATGGTGCTGAAGATTGAACCCAGGGCCTCAGAAGTGCAAGTTAGGCAGGTGTTGTATGACTAACCTAACTCTCTAGTTCCTCACTCATAATTTGCATCACTTTATAAGTTGTTGAGAACCATGGAATGAAACTACACTAGTTTACCATCTTTTCTTTTCTCCTATTATGATGGAGGTAGAGTCCTTCCTATCAAAGACCATTTCCCCCAGTTTTGTTCTGAATCCTATTCTTTTTTTCTCTGTTCTCATGTCTTCAGTACTTCTGTTCTTTATTGGCTCTTTAACCATCAGAATTATGCTATAGTATCTATACTTCCAAACACCTACTTCGACCCTAACACTTTTTCTGCTACTTTGCTACTTTCTAAAACAATATACATATTTTCTTTTCTACTGCCTTACATTATTTCCTTTTTGTAATAACTCATTGTATGCTTTCAACCCAGTTACCACATTGAAACTGTTTTTGTTGAGTGGCAGGTGACATCCATGTGAAATGTAACAATTTTTTTTTCATTATCATTTTATCTGACTTATTATTATTAGCGACATTTAAACAACTTACCACTTGCTCTTTAGAAATTCTTCTTTCCCGGTGCCTTGAAATCAGTCTCATCGAGCTTTGTTTCTCCTAAATCTTCATCCTTAAAGTTGCTCAAATTAGAAGCCCAGAAATCATTGTTTTTCCTTTTTTCTTACTTTCCAAATCTGTTGAACACAACTTGAGTCTGTTATTTCTCTACAGGTCTATTCCTAATACCTATATGTGAGCTGCCAATTCTTGGATTAGTTGCTGTTGTTTCCATTTCTACTCTTGCAATTGTCATTTTTCTCCTAAGAGTGTAGACATAGTGATATCATTAGATTATAAGTCTCAATTCCTGTTCTCTGCCTAAAAGGCATTAGTGGCAACCCATTATACTCCTTTATTGTGACCTACAAGACCCTGCCAGAGCTGTCACCTGCTATTCTCTTAAACCTTTCTTCCAACACTTATCCAATTGCTTAGCAGCCTTTGGTGAAACTGCTTTTGTTCATACCAACTTTCTCACAAGTAGAGCCTTTCTAAGTGGTATTTCTGCTACCTAAAGTGCTTTCATTTTCTCTTATTATATGATTTATTCCTTTTTGTTTGTTAGGCCAAATTTAAACGCCACTTTTCAAAGAAGTCTTCATCTTTCATGATCAGCTTATGTTCTCCATCTCAATTCTTTTTTCCTTTTTTTTTTCCTTTGTGGTAATGAAGATTGAACTTGGGCCCTTGCACCTTGTACATGCACTCCACAAATTTTTTTTTTCCTTTGTAGGGCTTAATATAATTTTTACTTACTTTCTGTTTCTTCCTTATCTTTACCACTACAGTGTAAGTAAGCTCTGTGAAGACAGTTGAAGCATCTATCCTAAAAATTCTTATACTATCCTGTTCTTGTACTCTTTTAAATCCCTACATAAATCTTTAATGGGCACATAATGTATACTTAAAAATTTTTTTCTTGATTCGATGAGTAAGTAAGGAAATTGTGTTAAAGTGAAACCACAGGCATAGTATTGCAAATACTAGTGACTTATGATGAACTATCTACAAATGGGATGAATTGTTACTATTAAGCTATATGTTTGAATGTATTAAATAAGATATTTGGTTAACAAATTGTGTGATTTTTGTTTGATTATTTCAGCCTTTCCTACCACCTTCCCAAAGTAAAGCTGAATATGATTCAGAGGAGAGTCTGGAAAGTGATGGTGATGATGATGATGATGATAATGATAATGTTTTAGCTTCAGATTTTCATCTCCAAGAGCATTCTAATTCAAATTCATATAGGTATGTATTATTACATTTTAATCTTTTAAAAATCATCCTGGCTTATATGATATTTTTTGAAAATAATACATGTGCTTTATAAATTAGTACACTAACACATTTCTATAATTGTAGTTGAAATTGTTAAATTGCTTCCCTTCAACATAATTTGTCAGTTAAACTTTTTTTCTTTTGGTACTAGGGATTGAACCCAGAGGTACTTTACCACTGAGCCACATCCCCAGCCCTTTAAATTTTTTTTTTTTTTTTTTTAATTTTGTGACAGGGTCTAACTAAGTAGCTTGGGCCCTCACTAAGTTGCTGGCTTTGAACTAAGATCTTTTGACTAAGCCTCCCAACCACTGGGATTACAGGCATGCACCATCACAACCGGTGTCAGTTAACTTGACTTTACATGAGGAGACCATCTATAATTTTATTACTCCTCACAGATCTTCTCACATTATCCCTTGCTTTTGGGATCCTATGTCCCACAATTTTAACTTTGAAAATCTATTGCTTTTTCAGGAAAACAGTAGTACTATGTCAATAAGTACTGTCTTAAAAGTTTTCAAATATTATAAAAATCCTAAATGTTCAAAACACTGATTCCTAGCTCCAGTGGTGCATTATTCATACATTCATGAGTAGCTAGTGTATTATCTTGTTTCTTGATGTGTTGCTTACATCTGAAATATATATATACTTTATACAGACAAAATATGTTAATATAAATTTTGAAAAGAAGTAAATGTGTCAGGGACAGTGAAATACTTCTTAATTTTTCTCTTATTTCTATATTTTATTTTATTGAAAAAAAAATTTATATATACACAAATGCACACACCATATATATATATATATATATATATATATATATATGTAAGTATATATACACATACATATATATATATATATAAAATTCTGGAGTTTTTTAAATATATGACAGCGGAATGCATTACAATTCTTATTACACATATATAGAGCACAATTTTTCATATCTCTGGTTGTATACATAGTATATTCACACCAATTCGTGTCTTCATACATGTACTTTGGATAATAATGATCATCACATTCCACCATCATTTCTAACCCCATGCCCCTCCCTTCCCCTCCAACCCCTCTGTCCTATCTAGAGGACGTCTTTTTCTCCCATGCTCCCTCTCCCTATTCCACTCTGAATCAGCCTCCCTATATCAAAGAAAATATTCAGCATTTGTTTTTTTTGGGATTGTCTAACTTCACTTAGCATTATCTTCTCTAACTTCATCCATTTACCTGCAAATGCCATGATTTTATTCTCTATTGCTGAGTAATATTCCATTGTGTGGGCTGGGGATGTGGCTCAAGCGGTAATGTGCTCGCCTGGCATGTACGGGGCGCTGGGTTTGATCCTCAGCGCCACATAAAAATAAAATAAAGATGTTGTGTCCACCGAAAACTGAAAAATAAATATTAAAAAATTCTCTCTGTCTTTCTCTCTCTCTTCTCTCTTCTCTTTCTTCTCTCTCTACATCTTTTAAAAAATATTCCATTGTGTATATATGCCACATTTTTTTATCCATTCATCTATTAAAGGTCATCTAGATTGGTTCCACAGTTCAGCTATTGTGAATTGTGCTCCTGTAAACATTAATGTGACTCTGTCCCTGTAGTATGCTGTTTTTAAGTCCTTTGGGTATAGACTGAGGAGAGGGATAGCTGAGTCAAATGGTGGTTCCATTCCCAATTTTCCAAGAAAGCTTCATACTGCTTTCCATATTGGCTACAACAATTTGCAGTCCCACCAGCAGTGTATGAGTGTACCATTTTCCCCACATCCTTGTCAACACTTATTATTGTTTGTATGTATAATAGCTGCCATTCTGAGTGGGGTGAGATGAAATCTTAGAGTGGTTTTGATTTGCATTTCTGTAATTGCTAGTGATGAACATTTTTTCATGTATTTGTTGATTGATAGTATATCATCATCTGAGAAGTGTCTGTTCAGGTCCTTGGCCTATTTATTGATTAGGTTATTTGTTTTTGTGGTGTTTAGCTTTTTGAGTTCTTTATATACCCTAGACATTAGTGCTCTATCTGATGTGTGAGGGGTAAAGATTTGCTCCCAATATGTAGGCTCTCAGTTCTACTCACAGATTGTTTCTTTTGCTGAGAAGAAACTTCCTAGTTTGAGTCCATCTCATTTATTGATTCTTGATTTTCATTCTTGCACCACAAGAGTCTTATTAAGGAAATTAAGGCCTAATCCCACATGATGTAGATTAGGGCCTACTTTTTCTTCTATTAGACGCAGGATCTCTGCTTGTATTCCTAAGTCCTTGATCCATTTTGAGTTGAGTTTTGTGCATGGTGAGAAATAGGGGTTTCATTTCATTTTGTTGCATATGGATTTCCAGTTTTCCCAGCACCATTTGTTGAAGAGGCTATCTTTTCTCCAATGCATGTTCTTGGCACCTTTGTATAATATAAGATAATTGTAGTTTTGTGAGTTATTCAATACCATTGGTCTACCAGTCTGTTTTCATGCCAATACCACGCTGTTTTTGTTGTTATTGCTTTGTAGTATAGTTTAAGGTCTGGTATAGTGATGCTACCTGCTTCACTCTTCCTGCTAAGGATTGCTTTACCTATTCTGGGTCTCTTATTTTTCCAGATGAATTTTATGATTGCTTTTTCTATTTCTATGAGGAATTCCATTGGAATTTTGATCGGAATTGCATTAAATCTGTATTGTGCTTTTGGAAATGTGGTCATTTTGATAATATTAATTCTCCCTATCCAAGAACAAGGTAGACCTTCCCATCTTCTAAGGTCTTCTTTGATTTCTTTAGGGTTCTGTAATTTTCATTATATAGATCGTTCACCTCTTTCGTTAATTCAATTCCCAAGGCTTTTTTTTTTTTTTTTTTTTTTTTTGAGGCTATTGAAAATGGGGTAGTTTTCCTCGTTTCCCTTTCTGAGGATTTGTCACTGATATTCAGAAATGCCTTTGATTTATTGGTGTCGATTTTATATCCTGCTACTTTGTTAAATTCATTTACTAGTTCTAGGAGTTTCTGTTGGAGAGTATTCTACGTGTAGAATCATATCATCAGCAAATAGTGCCAATTTGAGTTCTTCTCTTTCTATGTGTATCCCTTTACTTTCTTTAATCTGTCTAATTGCTCTGGCCAGTGTTTTAAGAACTATGTTAAATAGAAGTGGTGAAAGAGAGCATCCCTGTGTTGTTCCAGTTTCTAGAGGGAATTCCTTCAATTTTTTCTCCATTTAGAATGATGTTGGCCTGGGGCTTAGCATAGATAACCTTTATGATGTTGAGATATGTTCCTGTTATCCCTAATTCTTCTAGTGTTTTGAACATAAACGGGTGCTGTATTTTGTCAAATGCTTTTTCTGCGTCTATTGGTTCTTTTCTTTAAGTCTATTGATGTGATGAATTACGTTTATTGATTTCCATATGTTGAACCAACCTTGCATCCCTGGGATGAATCGCACTTGATCATGATGCAGGATCTTTTTGATATGTTTGTGTATTCGATTTGCCAGAATTTTGTTGAGAATCACGTATAGGGGGAGATCAATTCATGTATCAGCAGATTTTTCAACACAGACCTTCAAAGCCAGGAGATCATGAAACAACATATACCAAGCTCTGAAAGAAAATTGATGCCAGCCAAGAATCTTAATATCCAGGAAAGCTAAGCTGTAGATTTGATGATGAAATGAAAACCTTCCATGATAAACCAAAGTTACAAGAATTTACAACTAGAAAGCCTGCACTACAGAACATCCTCAGCAAAATATTCCATGAAGAGGAAATGAAAAGCAATGATTAAAATCAGCAGAGGGAAGGATTACACTAAAGGAAAATCTAATCAGAGGAGATACCTAGTCACGTTAAATACCAAAAATAAACAAAAATGGCTAGGAATACAAATCATATCTCAATAATAACCCTGAATGTTAATGGGCTAAACTCGCCAATCAAAAGACATAGACTAGCAGGTTGGATGAAAAAAAAAAAAAAAGAACCAACAATATGCTGCCTCCAGGAAACTCATCTCATAGGAAAAGACATTCACAGACTGAAGGTGAAGGGTTGGGAAAAATCATACCACTCACATGGACTGTGTAAGCAAGTAGCGGTTTCCATCCTCATATCAAATATAGTAGACTTCAAACTAGAGTTAATCAAAAAGGATAAAGAAATACACTACGTTACTGCTTAAGGGAACCATACACCAACAAGACTTAACAATTATAAATATATATGCCTCAAACAATGGAACAGCTATGTTCATCAAACAAACTCTTCTGAAGTTCAAGAGTCAAATAGACCACAACAGTAATTGTGGGTGACTTAAACACACCTTTTTCATCACTAGATAGATCTTCCAAACAAAAGCTGAACAAAGAACTATATAACTCAATAATACAATCAATAACTTAGATTTAACTGACATATATAGAATATTCCATTCTTCAATGAGAGAATATACTTTCTTCTTAGTAGCACATGGATCCTCCTCTGAAATAGACCATATACTATGCCACAAAGCAACTCTTAGCAAATATAAAACAGAGGTAGTACCCTTCATTCTATCAGATTATAATGGAATGAAATTAGAAATCAATGATAAAATAAGAAATAAAATCTAATCCAACATCTGGAGACTAAATAATATGCTCCTGAATGAAGAATGGGTTACAGAAGACATCAAGTAGGAGATTAAAAAAATTTAGAGGTGAATGTGAATACAGATACAACATATCGAAATCTCTGGAACACTATGAAAGCAGTACTAAGAGGAAAGTTCACTGCATGGAGTTCATTCCTTAAAAGAAGAAAAGGTCAACAGATAAATGACTTAACACTACATCTCAAAGCCCTAGAAAAAGAAGAGCAAACCAACACCAAAAGCAGCAGAATACAGGAAATAGTTAAAATCAGAGCTGAAATCAATGAAATTGAAATAAAAGAAACAATTGAAAAAATTGACAGAACAAAAAGTTGGTTCTTTGAAAAAATAAATAAAATTGACAGACCCTTAGCCAAGCTGATGAAGAGGAGAGTGAAATACTTCTTTATGAAAAATTACTTTGACATATTTATTGGTGTATTCGATTTTTTATGCTAAGTTTGCTTTTTCAAAATGAAAAACATTTGCATGACTCTGAAGTCAAAGTATAACTCAAAACCAAAAAACAACTCAATTAAATGGCCAGGAGCTGGTGTTGTGGCTCAGAGGTACAGCATTCGCCTAGCATGCGTGAGGCACTGGGTTCGATCCTCAGCACCACGTAAAAATAAATAAACAAAATTAAGATTTTGTGTCCCCCTATAACTAAAAAAAGTATTTTTAAAAAAATGACCAAAGGATTTGAATAAATATTTCTCCCAAGAATGACCAAAAAACACATGAAAATCGAACGCATGGTAGGACACCATCTTGTACTCATTAGGATAGCTACTATAAAAAATATCCAAATAATGATGTTGGCAGAAATGGGGAGTAATTAGAACCTTTGTTCCCTTCTGGTAGGAATGTAAAATAGTGCAGCCACTGTCAAAAATGGAATAGTAGTTCCTCAAAAAATTAAAAATAGAATTACCATATGATTCAGCAATTCCATTTCTGAGTATATACTTAAAAGAATTGAAAGCAGGCACTGAAGCTAATTTTTGTATATCCATGTTTACAGTAGTATTACTCATAGTCACCAGTCTGTAGAAACAATCCAAATGTTTCTTGACAGATGAATGGATAAGCAAAATTTGATATTGTACGTATAGTGGAAAATTATTCAGCCTTATAAAGGAAGGAAATTTTAACAAATGCTACAACATGGATAAATCTTAAGGACATTATGCTAAATGAAATAAACCAGTCATAAAACAGTAAATAGTGTATGATTCTACTTACATGTTATTCTTAGATGAGTCAACGCTTAGAGACTGACAGTTGGAAGTTGTCAGGGCCTGGACAATGAGCAGGTATTGTTAAATGAATATAAAGTTTTAGTTTTGTAAAATGAAAGAGTTTTGAAAATGGATGCTGGTTGTGGTTAAACAACTATATGAATGTACTTACTGCTGTTGAACTCTACACTTAAAAATGGTTAAAATGGTAAATTATCCATTATATGTTATTTTACCACAAAAAAATATTTAAAAGTGAATACTTTAAGAAATAAGTGTGTTCCACTTGAATCCATGGTAGGACACCATCTTGTACTCATTAGGATAGCTACTATAAACACTTCTTTTATAAAAAGTCAAATGAAAAGTCTCATATTTTTAAATTTCTTCCTTATACCCTCTACAGATAACCACTTTCGTTAGTTTTCATTTGATCACTTTTTTACGTTTCTGATTCACCCTTCTGTTTGCAAAAATAAACCAATGCATCTGTATAATTTTATCTCCTGCTTTCTTACACAGATTATGTAGCACACCATATCTAATGTTCTGAAACTTCCTTGTGCATTATTCATACTTCCAGAAGTTCTCTCCTTATTAATACTTAGAGATCCTTATTTATTCTTTTTTTATGGTTACCCTAAAATTTCACACTTCAAAATGGTCATTATTTAGCCAGTACAATTTGATTATTCTTACTCCTTTGTTATTATAGATAATCCTGACATGAGTACCTGCATCTATTAAATTATTTTGGTTTTGTTGGGGTACACCTTCAGGGTAAATTGTTAATAGTGGATTTCTGGTCAAAATGTTGTGCCCTTCTAAATCCCTACACAAATCTTTAATGTATCCATTTTTGCTTTGTTTTTAGTTGGTCATTGATGCGATTGGCAATGGTGCAATTGGTTCTCAACAATTTGAAGACATTCTATCCCTTTGCAGGTCATGATCTTGCAGGTAATAAATATCTTAATATAAACGAATGGTGCCGTTGCTTTGGTTTACTATTCTGTATACTTTTTTAAAATAGTGGAGAAAAGTTTAGACTTCCTGTTGTGAAAAACCAACCCTCTATAAATGCACCTATCATGCAATTCAGTGCTTGAGGAGGGCTATGTCCAAGAAATCAGAAGCACTGAACCTGATATGATTAACTATTATGAGACTATATTATAGCTTTCTGAATGTTGGGGCATTTAATAATGGTAACAGTGTAGAAACTAAGCAAACACAAAGCTTATAAACTACAAAGGAAGAAATGGTTGTGTAGGAGAGAAAGGGGTATGATAGTATACCAAATGTTTCAGCTGTGAAAAGTATTTTTCATTTATATATGTGAGATCATATATTTATATATTATAGACAAGTATATATAAGATAAATATGTATTATATATTGTTTATGTGTAATACATAATATTAAAATATTGATTTAACCAAATTTTTATGATGTTATGATAAAGGGAGGAAAAGTTTATTGTCATATTTTTTAGTAATAAATGAGTAGATCATTTACAAAATTAAAAATCATGAGCACACAGTATAAACATGTTATGTAGATATGGAGAGGTAAATAACAGGAGTAGTTAAAATAGGATCAGGACTCAGGAATATGGAAGTTTAGAAAAAGGTGCTGAGTTTCTTGGTAAGTATTATTTAACACTTTTGTGTGTATTTTCATTTTCTAAACAATCCCTAAAAAACAAATGCCAAATGTCTTCTTTGATATAAGGAGAGTAACTAAGAACAGAGTAGGGACGAAGAGCATGAGAAGAAGATTAACATTAAACAGAGATGAGAGGTGCGAGGGAAAGGGAGAGAAAAGGGAAATTGCATGGAAATGGAAGGAGACCCTCAGGGTTATACAAAAGAGCATACAAGAGGGAATGAGGGGAAAGGGAAAAATAATACAAGGGGGAGAAATGAAGGACAGTAGAGGGGGTAGAGAGAGAAGAGGGGAGGGTAGGGGAGGGGGGATAGTAGAGGATAGGAAAGGTAGCAGAACACAACAGACACTAGTATGGCAATATGTAAATCAATGGATGTGTAATTGATGCAATCTGTATATGGGCTAAAAATGGGAGTTCATAACCCACTTGAATCAAAGTGTGAAATATGATATATCAAGAAATATGTAATGTTTTGAACAACCAACAATAAAAAAAATCTTTTTTTCTGTAAAATTCTTTTTAATAAAGTCTTCAATCATCTTTAAAAAAAAAAAAATAAATCTTAAATTTATATGCCATACAGAACTGATACAAAGGTTTAAAACAATTTTCTCTCACACGTATTTTCCTAATCTTTAGATACATCTTTCATGTGAAAAAGTCAGAGACAGTAAAGTTGAAATGCTTGTACAGATTTCTTTTTTTTTTTTAAGAGAGAGAGAGAGAGAGAATTTTTAATATTTATTTTTTTTAGTTCTCGGCGGACACAACATCTTTGTTTATATGTGGTGCTGAAGATCGAACCCGGGCCGCACGCATGCCAGGCGAGCGTGCTACCGCTTGAGCCACATCTCCAGCCCCGCTTGTCCAGATTTCTGACGTCATTTTTTTCAACCTCCTGTATTTCTATGTCTATATCTCACATGTTGACATGTGCTAATAGCTTAATTCAGTCTTTCCTACAATTGAATATGGCATTTTACTGCAGAAGATAAATATGAGTCATTTATATTTTCCCTTTTTAGAACTTCCAGTCAGTTCACCTCTTTGTCATGCGGTTCTGAAAACTCTTCAATGTTGGGAACAAGTTCTTCTTCGAAGACTTGAAATCCATGGTGGACCACCTCAAAATTATATCTCAAGTCATACCTCTGAAGAGAGTTTGTCTGCAGGTCTTGCTATTCTGCGCCACAAAGCTTTACTGGAACCTACAAACACTCCTTTCAAGTAGGTTTTCCTATGGATAATATTTTTTTTTAAGAGAGAGAATTTTTAATATTTATTTTTTAATTTTCGGTGGACATAACATCTTTATTTTATTTTTATGTGGTGCTGAGGATCGAACCCACTGCCCCGTGCATGCCAGGCAAGCGCACTACCGCTTGAGCCACATCCCCAGCCCCAGTGGATACTATTTTTAAGTATGAGTTTTCCTAAATCAGAATGTTGTCAGGTAGTATTTAGAGAAAAAAATATTACGATCTATCTAATTTTCTCTTCTAGGCTCATATGAGTGTCTTTGTGTAATGTCTACAGTAGTTCAGAAGTTAGCAAACTTTTCTTGTGAATGTTCAGATAGTAAATATTTTAGACTTTTGGGATGTGCTAGTCACAATTACTTAGCTCTGCCATTGTAGAGTGAAAGCAACCATATACCATACATAAATATGTTTTGATTTGGCTATCGTCCAGTAAACTTTTTTTTTTTTTTTTAATGGGGCAGGCTAGTTTTGGCCTATGAGCTGTAGTGTATTGATACCTACTTTAGAGCAACACTGTTGAAAATAACCACTCATCAACTGTTTTACTGACCATGAGATGAGAAAGAAACAAAAGGCAAATCATTTCAATGCCCGTTTTATCTAGAAAGTCTTACTACAAAAAATATTTACTGAACTAAACAGTGTGTTTACTTAATGTTGTAGTTGGTTTATGCTCTTGCACAAGCTCTTACCTTATTACTGATCAGTAACAAAGAGTTGTGGGTGGGTATGTGTCCATAGATAGCACTTTCAGTCGCTGTTTTTCTAGTTCTTGTCTGGTATGCATACCTATTTTTGTTATCTCTTGTATCCCTAGATTGGGGGTCAGCAAACTGTGCCCAACCCTCTGCCCAAATTTAACCCTCCTCCTGCTTTTTAAAATAAAGTGTTATTGGATCACAGCCATGCCATTTTCATTTGCATATTATAGGTTGAGTATCCCTTATCCAAGATGCTTGGGGCCAGAAGTGTTTCAGATTTTAGAATCTTTTGTATTTTGGAATGTTTGCATAGACTTTACCATTGAACATCCCTAACTCAAAATCCAAAACTTAAAATGTCAACATCTAAAAAGTTTCAGATCCCAGAGCATTTTGAATTTGGGAGCATTTCAAATTAGAGCTGCTCAGTCTGAATGTTTGGCTGCTTTCCCATTATAGTGACAGAGTTGAGTACTTTTGATAAAAACCATAGGACACACAAACCCTGAAATATTTACTGTCTGATGCTTGGTTGGCTTGTCACTGTGATGCACACCTGTAGTTCCCTGAACTTTGAAGGCTGAAACAGGAGAATTGCAAGTTCTAGGCCATCTGTAGCAATTTAGTGAGGCCTGAAAAAACTTGGTGAGACCTTCTCTCAAAATAAAAACAAAAAGTGCTAGGGATGTAGCTCAGTGACAAAGTTACCCTGGGTTCAATCTCCAGTACCAGAAACAGAAAAAGAAAAAGCTTGATGGATGCTTCCCTACATCATAGGTGTGGTTCTAGTTAATTTATTATAATAAGGATTCATATAGCACCGAGGAATTGTGGTCAAGTTAATTAGAAATGTCTGAAGTGGATAATTAAATTTTCTATCTCTGTGTAGATCCAAACATCACCTGGCATTATCTGTGAAGAGACTTTGGCAATACTTGGTAAAGCAAGAAGAAATTCAAGAAACCTTTATCAGAAATATATTCACAAAGAAACGATGTCTAAATGAGGTCTGTAGAAGTTAGAACCTCTTTATTATTTTATTACAGAAATCTTTTATATTATCATTGAGACCTTAAAAATGAGATACATTTTATAGTTTTTCTAAAACACATTTTTGTATCATAAATATATGCAATTAATGCTTAGTCAAGTGATTCAAAAGGAGAGAGGCAGTTATTTTCATCAATCACTTTAATTTACAGTAATTAATTTGTATGTACTTAGGACTTTTTTTCCCTCATAGATATTATTTAAGATTCTGTATCTCTTGTTTTTCTGTATTTTGAGTTATGATAATCACTTATTTACAAAACAAGGTAGAAATTTCCTTTGATTTTCATGTGATAGTTCCAGCTATGTTAGAAATTTAATTGAAACTTGGTTTTTGTTCTGAAAACATTTTAAATATGTACTATTTCTTATTCTTTAGATTATGCTTAAATAAAATTTTACAAATTCAAACTAACTTATAATTATACTGTAATTGGTTGATTATACTTTGATATTATCATCATAATGGTTATTTTTTTGTCATTTAGTTCAGTGCTACTAAAAAGTACCAGTCTGATAATACGGGGGAACTTGCATCTGAATGTAAATGAACATCTTGCTTCCTTCATTGAGAAAGTTTCGCTACTAAAAAATATCAGGTGAACTAAATAGTAGACATAGTTATGTAGTCGATTCTTTATCTCCCCTAAACCAGTAGCAAAGAGTTCAAAACTGCCAGGCATGGTGGTGCACACCTGTAATCCCAGCTACCTGGGAGGCTGAGGCAGGAGAATCACAAGTTCAAGGCCAGCCTCAGCAGTTTAGCAAGGCAACTAAGTGAGACCCTGTTTTGAAATAAAAAATAAATAAAAAGGACTGGGGATGTAGCTCAGGTACAATCCCCTTCAGTGTCCAATAAAAAAAGAGTCTATAGACCACATTTTGAGTAGCACTGAACTAGTCTGAAAGTAAGCTTTTACAGTTTTTAAAATGGAAGGAAAAAAATAAGGAAATAGAATATGACTTTACTATAGACAAGTAATCAAAAAGCAAGATGACATCAAACCTTACTTAAATAAAAGGAAAATCACATATATTCTGTCGTCTCGCAATTTAAGTACTAATTTGCAGGAGGCAACTGTAAGTGCTATTATTTACTATTTGCCTGATTTTGTAAATATATTCAAATTGACCATGCCAGGAAACAGAATATTATATAGTATTCTTGCTGACTTATAAGACTTTTCTTATGAAGTCTAGTTAAACAGTTTATTTTGTTATTTTTGTTTATTTTGTTAATTTAAACTTATGAAATATGTCTAAGATGTTTAGTGTGTAAGTTTACCATTAAAACAGTTCAAGAAAATGTTTGGATAAATAAAATTAACAATGGATGTACTAGAGAAGAATATAAGACTAATTAAAGATAGGTTTATTGGAAAGATAATGTTTTATTTTAAATTTATCTTTTTCTCAAATAATGTAAGTTACAGCATTCTGATGTGATATATAAAAGTACTGCTGCATTGTTCTTTATAAAGTCATGTTTGCTTCCTACTTTCTCTATTGCACTTTTTAATATGAATACGTAAATTTTGATTCAGGACTAGAATTATTAAGGGTACAGAGTAGTGTAACCAAGCCAGAATGTATAAGAATAGCAGGTAATAAATGCAGTTGCACATATTTAAATTTATTTATTATTTCTAGTTTTCTTTGGAGCTTCATTATTACCCTAAGAAAATTTTAAAATTACTTTTATTGCAATTATTTTAATAAAAGCATGACCATAAGTGTTGAACTGATAGCTTTGTAACTATCAGTAAGCTACATATTTTCTCTGAATTTTAGGGTTTTTATCTGCAAAGTGATTATTTCATCCTATACTTTGCAATGTTTTTGAACAGTAGATTTAACTGGCTCAATCACTGTAGTTATGAGAAATTTGTTGTTGTTGCCTATTGTGTTATTCTTGATTGTGATAATCTTGAAGAGACATTTTTGTTGTTCTTTTTAGATATACATGAACAGTAGAGTGTATTTTGACATATAACATGGAGTATAACTTATTCTAACTAGGATTGAAGAGACTTTTGATAAAAGGGAGTGTGAAAAGAAAAAAAATATATAGTAAAACAGGTTGGATGGAGTTAAATAGCAACTTAACTTTATAGGGGATGGTATAAAATTATTTAATCTTCTCTGGAAAGTTGAATAGACTATTTTTGTTATTCACAAATTTGCATTCCATCTCTTAGTCTCATAAAATAGTAATTACATTAAAGTTATTGTGACTTTTCAACTGTTTAGAAGATAAACATATGACAGGCCCTATATTTTGGTTGCAAGATGATGGGGAGGATTTTGAGACTGCTGCTGTTTTTTTATTCCTTTATATGCTTCTTTATCTGACCTTTTCTTCATCTGACCTTAAAGTCCTGGTGTATCCTGAGATCTCTTCTTTTTCCTATATAATGTAGTTTACTAGTGCATGCATTTTAAAATAGAATCCCTTCCCTATTTGTTCTTATTTGGAAATTAAGTACAGATGACTGCAAATATTCCCTATAAAAATTTGGAACTTGACAGCTGCTATCTTTGTTCCATTCCTTTTTTCTGTTTTCTTTCATTTTCTGAAAAGAACTAAAGTCTTGAACCTTTTATTACTATTATTATTATTATTAATGTGCTAATACCTCCTTTTAATAATGATATGCACCTTTAGCAACTTCTTGACTCTTTCTGGCTAAATCAGTAGGCAACAATTAGAAAAGTAAAACTAAAATTTCCTAATCAGAAGGTTTTCCTGAGATATCATGTGTTATGAAAATAAGACATATTAGCGTCTGTAAAAAGAATTTGTTTTTTTTAATTTATACTAATCTGGAACCAGTAGTTCAGGATTTTTAAATATAAAGTACTTTAGAATCAATTTTGCTCAAATGTCAGCATTTGAAGAGCAAGTAAAAATTTTAATGCTGTAGGATAAAATTTGTAGTGATGGTTAATGAGTTGTGAGCTGTTAAGTTTTCCTGTTCCCTTTCAATGCACATTCACACATACTTTTTTAAAGTGTATGAAATTTAAGAATAACAATGCAGATTCATGTCCTTTTCTAAGTAAATTGGTTAAAAATATAATTTTTAAAAATATCCCCAGTATTTTGCATGTTACATCTCATCTTTACTTTGTCATGTGATTATTCTTTCTTGATGAAGTCATTAGAGGACAACAATGAAACCATCAAAAATTCTATGATGGAGGAGCCAAACTTCAATAAGGTACAAATATCATTCAACTGAAATTAGAAATTGCATTCTTAGCTAGAAAAACAAAATATTTGCATTTTCGTTTCCAACTGAACTTTGTTCCCAATGGAATGAAAGTATTGTTTTTTCAAATTATTCTCTCTTTTTAACAAGTGATAACAATGCTTTTTCTTTTGTTAATTAAGAGAATGCAATTTTAAAGGGAGTTGAATGTATCCTATTTTGGCTACAGATTTTCCTGAGTACATACAACTGAAGTTCTTAATAAATGTAAATTACTCTAGCAGTTGTAAAAGCATAGTAGGATTGTACCATTTTTTAATTAAAATTTCTCTCCAAGGATATTAATTCCTAAAAGTATAGTAAATATTATTATATAATCATTTATTCTACAGATAGGAATAACATATAGCACAATGCTTTGTGCATAGTAAGTACTCATAGTACTTAAGAACCAAAGCAGAAAAGATGACAATTTGTACAATCATGAAAATTTCCCAGAGGTTCTGTGATTGCATGTTCAAGTATGACATCATTATATTGATATATAACGTATTTTTCATATTATTTATTGTCACTAATTTTAAGATAATCCTACCAAAGTGATTTTTAGGGGAAAGAATTTTTCAAAAGATTTTTTAAAGACTACTAATTCTACCTTTATTCTTTTTTTTTTTTTTTCCAGTTGTAGATACATACAATACCTTTATTTATTTATTTCTATGTGGTGCTGAGGATCAAACCCAGTGCCTTACACGTGCTAGGGAAGTGCTCTACCACTGAGCTACAGTCCCAGCCCCCTTTTATTCTTTTCAAAGGAATCTTTTAAAATAGAAGAAATAATTTTATGCAATTAATAACAAAGACTTAGTTGATACAAGTGTATATCGTAACTAAAACTTTAGCAAAATAAATGTATATAACTCATACTTTAAATTTTTCTAATGTTTTTTGGAAATTTTCAGAGAATATAAATCAAATTTTTAATTAACAATTTTCTTTGCTTATTGCTACTAACTACTCCCTGTACATTATCAAGAATTTTTATCCAAAGGTTTTTCTTTTGATCCTGTTCATAAAATGTTAATAATTATAATGTTATATTTCTGAAATCATCATGTTACATCAAAATGCAGTCATTTGTTTGGTTAACATCATAACCATTTTGCAAAAATTTTTAAGCTCTTTACTGTATGTTTTTTAAAATAACGTATTAGGTATGTTTGATCTAAAACAGCTCCACATATTTAAAGTGTAAAACTTTAATTTTGGATTGTGTGTTTGTGAAGCTATTACCAGAAGGTGATGCATTTATCCACCACCATCCAGACTTCAATTCCTCCCTTTTTCTTCCCTCTCCCCTCTGTCCTTTTTCTCCCCAAACAACTAGAGATCTGATTCCTGACATTATAAACTAATATGCATTGGAATTTTATGTAAATGGAATTATATCATTTTGGTTTTTACCTTTTACTAAGCATAAGTATTTTGAGAGATCTCCATGTCATTGTATGTGTCAGTAGTTCATTCTTTTTCATTTCTGTTATGTGTTCATTATATTGTATGGACATTACCAGTTTATCTGTTTACATATCATTTAACAGTTGAGCTTATTCCATTTGGGGGCTCTTTCAATAAAGCCTGCTTTGAAAATTCATGCATATGGCTTTTTTATGGACATAGGCTTTTGTTTCTGTTGTGTAAATAAATGCCTATAAGTAGTAAGATCATATGGTAGGTTTATGCTTAACCTTTTTAGGAAACTGCCCAAGTGTTTTCCAAGGTGATTGTATCATTTATACTTTTCTCATCAGTGGTTGAAATCTCAGTTACTTCATATCTTCTTTTTTTTTTTAATGAAAAGCCTTCTTTGGGGTCTGGAATTGTGGTTCAGCGGTAGAGTGCTCGCCTAGCACAGGCTGGACCCGGGTTCGATTCTCAGCACCACATAAATATAAAAGCATTGTGTTGTGTCCATCTACAAAAAAGATTCATATTTTCTCTCTCTCTCTCTCTCTCTCTCTCTCTCTCAAAAAAAAAAAAAAAAAGAGAAAAGACTTCATTCTTTTTTTTTAATACCTTTGTTTTATTTATTTATATGTGGTGCCGAGGATTGAACCCAGGGCCTCGCATATGCTAGGCATGCTCTCTACCGCTGAGCCATAACCCCAGCCCAGTTACTTCATATTCTTATTTATACTTTGTATAGTTAACTTTAGCCATTCTAGTTTAATGATAGTTCATCATGGTTTTATTTTATAGTCTTTTTATTCTCTTTACAAAATGTCTTTTGTTGAAGACATTATCCTTTCATCCATTGAATTTCCTTTTCAAAAATCATTGACACAGATGTGTAGGTCTATTTCTGGACTCTTCTTTGGTCTATCAATCTGTTTTCCATCTTTATGCTAGCTGCACAGTTACTTATTACTATAGCCTTATAATCTTTATGTGAAATGTTGTCCTTCAGATATATCCTTCTGCAAACCAAGCTACATAGCTTGCTTACTTATTTGCTTATTTTTTCTTTATCACACTGACTACAACTTCCAGTCCCAGACTGAATAAAAATATTGAGAATAGATTCTTGTTTTTCATATATTAGAAGAAAGCATTGCGTTTTTCTTTTCTTTATCTTCTTTTTTTTTTTTTTTTTTTTGTACCAGGGATTGAACCAAAGGATGCTTAACCACTGAGCAACATACCCAGCCCTTTTTTATATTTTATTTAGAGACAGGGTCTCTCTAAGTAGCTTGGAGCCTTGATAAGTTGCTAAGGCTAGCTTTGAACTTGCGATTGTCCTGCCTCAGCTTCCTGAGCTGCTGGAATTACAAGTGTGTGCCACCACGCCCAGCTAGCATTTAATTTTTTTTATTCTATCTATAATATCCAGAATAGATAAATCTATAAAAACAGAAAGAATTGGTGCTTGCCAAGTTCTTAGACAAGAGGGGATGGGAGCTGAATGCTTAATGAGATTTATTTTGGGTACTAAAAATGTTCTGGAGCGAGAAAGAGATCATAGTTGTATGTTTAGGTTTTTTTTCTTTTTGTTTTTTTGTTGTTGTTTTATCATGAGGTTACCTGTAAGTTTGTTGTAGTTGCCCTCCTAAGCTTGGAGAAGTTTTTTTATATTATTAGCTTGCTGAGAGTTTTTTAATAACAAAAAAATATTTTACTAAAACATAAGATTTACAGAAGATTCAGACAAGTCATACTATATTGTCAAAAGCTTTTTGTTGAAGGGAGTTCTATACTTGATAGCAAAGTGACAATCTTCTTAGGGAGGGTTGTGATATTTGTTTAGTGTTGATTCAAACAATCATTCTTGTTCATCTATAGGATTTTAAAGTAAATACTCTGCAGCTAACCCTGATAAACTATCTTTGTTTACCATGCTTTATATTTACTACACTGTGCTTTATACTTTATCTTCACATACTATGTCCCCAATGACTAGGAAATGAATAAAAGCAGTTTCACTGCTTTTAAACTTTTCCCAACAATCCATGTTCTAGCATCTGCTTCTGCTTTACCATGGTGAATTGAGAAAAGATATAGATTTGATAATGTGCATTTAATCACCAAAGGACTGAAGATGTCCTAACTTTTATTCTGTAATGTTTCTAAGACTGTTGTGTCCATTAAATGCAAAAAATGAAGACAACTTTATAGAACAGAAGTGATGCACATTTGATGATGTGCATTTGATAATCAGATTGATTTAAATACTACTTGTGGCAGACAGCCTAGTCCATGTTTCAAGTATTTCTGTGACTTGAACTTTGTTGGTCTCTCACTGCTGTGCTTCATCTAATAGATCCTCTGAATTAAGAACACTGAACAAAGCAATAGTCAATAGCAGAATTATGGGAAGCTGGTGCTGTGGACCACTTATCTTTCAGAATACATAACATATTCTTCCTGACCTGTCTACATTAAGAAAATAAAGTTTGGTCATGAAATGTACTTTAGGTGCTGCCTTTGGGTATTCTTCTGGAAGGAACAATTAAAATCCCCTCCTCAAAGTTGGAATCCTAGAGGCCAGCAGTGACCACATGAAAATAATGGGTATTGCTTTTATCTGGTTCTGCTTTGATGCCAGGAACCACTTCTACCAGCCAATGCTGGCTTTCCTTTGATGATTTTTCCAGGCAGCCCAGTCATCTTTTCAAATTCTGAATCAGCCCACTTGTCTTTTTTCCCCATTTAATCAGGAAGGGATGTTGGATTTTGTTAAATGGTTTGGTTTTTTTGGATTTTGTTGTTGTTGTTTTGCTACTATTGAGATGATCACTTTGATGGCTTTTCTTTTGTTAGTCTGTTGGTATGGCTAAATAAATTTATGGATTTTTTTTTTTTAAATGTTAAACTAGTCTTGCATTCATGGCCCCACTTCAGCCTACTTGGCCATGATGTATTATCCCATTTCAATATTGTCAGTTTTCATTTGTTCAATTTTAAGAATTTTGCATCTATATTCATGAAGGATATCGGTTTGTAGTTTTGTTATACATTTTTTTTTAGTTGTCAATGGACTTTTATTTATTTCTTTATATGTGCTGCTAAGAATTGAAACCAGTGCTCACACATGCTAGGCAAGTACTCTACCACTGAGCCACAACCCCAGCCCTTTCTTATACATTTTTTGCTTTATGTTGGTATTAGATTTATGTTAGCCTTTCTTACAATATGTTGGCAAGGATTCTTAATATTTGGAAGAATTTATATAGATACAGTAGTATTATTTCTTAAGTGTTTGGTAGAATCTTTGAATTTTTTAATTACAAATTCAAATTCTCTAACAGATATAGGGCAATTCAGGTTATCTATTTCTTATCTATTGGGATAAGCCACCATTCCTACTCTCCTAATTCAGTCCACCATTACCTCTCAGTAACTTAAGCCACTGTAGTAGCTTCTTCATTGACTTTTTGGCAGCCATTCTATACCCTTTATGTTTTAGCTCACACCAATCAGAAATTTCAAACTCTTCCAGTGGCTTTCTCAGCCCTAATATCTTTCCTCTTTATTATAGCTTTTAAATTCCTGCATGAGCTTCTTTCTCTAGTCTTATCTTCTACATGCTTAGTCATTCTCAAATTTAGTTTGCCTAAAACACTTGAGATGTTAGGCACCATTGCTTTGCCCCATGATTATAGGATTCTAAATATGCATCTGACATAGAGTTTAGAATCTTTGTATTTTAAAAAGTCACCTCATTTCCTTCTCATGCAGCTCATCTTGACACCACGTTATTGAGAAATATTATTTTTAGATAATAGAAAACAAGAATGTATTCCCACATTGAGAAAGCTTTTTGACATTTATATCTGCTTGAGCTTTCCTTCTGCACTTGGGAAAAAAGCTCCCCAGATGAAACTGATATATTCCCCTCAATCCAATAATTGCCAGCAAATAGTAGATCCCTCTGTGCTGTGGAAATATCTCTCTGCCTCCAGTTTCTTCAAAACCTAATAATAGACACTTAAGAGTATTTTAGATATCAGGCAGATAGATGGGTAAATTGGGATTTTATCATGATATTACAGAATTTGACTTGTCCATTCTTGCTGGGCCAGAGGTAAGACATTCCTAGAAGACAAGTTGATTCTCAAGCCAGAATGTTCAGCAAACACTACTGAAATATTTTTGTTTGTAAGCAAATCATATTTTAGATTAGAATATATTTGACATTAACATCTAATGACTATGGTTTTCTCTTCATAGTGGTTATTTTGATTTGGTTATTGTATAAATCTCTCTCAGCTCTGCAATTGAACAGTCTGATGTCATTTAAAAAAATATTTTGAACTCTTATGAATTCTGTGGTCAGCAGATAGGCATTAGTGATATTTTTATCTAAATTTTTCAGGAAATAAATTTGTTATGTGCTAATTACAAGTTAATATTTTCTGCATTTTATAGTAAGCGGTGAAACATTTTGTAATTCATTTAAAAAGATTGAAGGTTAGGAAAAATAAAATGAAGTAATACCCTACATTAAGCAGTGTTTCAAACTCTTAATAATTGCTTCCACATTCAAACTTTTATTTATTTTAGTAAATTGATTTTACATAATTTCTTCTGAATTTAAAGATGTTGTATACACTTTCTTTAGGGTAAAGGAATGTAAGATATTTTCCCCTTATGTAAACTACATTGAATTATGGTTTACTAAACTTCTACTGGCTTAGAGGAGTTACCGTGTCTTCGGGGTTTCTATAAATAGAAAATTATTTAGACCAGAAGTCAGTAAACTATACATACCTGGTCAAACCCCACCTGGTTTTGTATAACCCATGAGCAAAGAATGGTCTTTACATTTTTAAAGCACTGTTTGGGGGGGGGAGGGGCGGGAAGAGGAATGTGCAACAGTAACCATTTGTGGTCCACACAACCTAAAATATTCACCATCTGACCATTTAACATAAAAATATATAAAATACTATTAAATGACTGGGGATATAGCTTAGTTGGTAGAATTCTTGCCTTGCATGCACAAGGCCCTGGGTTCAATCCCTAAAACCACCAAAAAAATAAAATACTATAAGAATTATAGTACTAAGAAATTTGGTAAATAAGTTTTAATTAAAATGTTTTGGTTCTCTAAAGTTAATTCGTTATAGCTTGGGAGTATAATCAATTAATGAAGTTCTGTGTTGTATCAACTATCTTTTTAAAAATGTGAAAAAACAAGTTTGAAAAAAATTAAATTCCCCTTGTCCAATCTTAGGAATTATATACAATAGCACCTTTGGAATTGAAATATCTAAAAAAACTTTCTTTAAATAATTTATGCAAGTATCAGATGCTAGACTAGCATACTATTTGGCCTATTCTTAAAGTCATATTTTATTTTCTTCCTTGTAGATAGAAGCAGATTTGGGATATCCTGGAGGTAAAGCAAGAATTATTCATAAGGAATCTGATATCATTACTGCATTTGCTGTTAATAAAGTAAGTATATAGATTTTTTTCTTTTCTTTAATCATTACATGTTCATAGTTGAAGAATCAGTAAGTTTATTTAATGTCTCTATTTCTCTTTTCCAAAACTACTTCACACTTCTTAAATTATACCCTGAATCATTTTTTTTATTTTATAAATTATTTATATTATTTGGTAATGTGATTTTGTTAACATATAATTTGGGAAATGTAACTGATAAGATTTTTTTATTGCTATAGAGAAAAGCATATAAATTATTTATATATGCAATAACTTTAGAATTTATGTGAGATAATAGCACCTAACACAAAGAAAATATTTGCTATATTTCTTATGATTATGTTAAATATAATTCTTGCTATTTGATTTAATTTAAGCCTATATGTGGCTTATAAATTCTCTCACTACCAGTAGTTTCCCAATTAGTATGTTTTCTTTGTTTTCCTTAGACTTATACTTACCATCCTCCTTAGAGATGTCTCTAAGTTCCAATAGTAAAGGTAGCCTTAGATATAATCGTCCAGTGTTGAAATTTGTCTTAGTAATTTTCCCCTTTTATCTCCCTTCATTGCCTTATTGAACAGTTTCTAGTCACTTTTGTTTTGTTGTCTTTCCATTAATTTAAAGATAAATGTTATCTTTTTTCTTGTATTCCTAAAGGATAAAGAAGGCATATGTGTGTGTACAAGTGCATGCATGTGTGTTCATATGTTCCTAATTTGCAATAATTTTATGTAATTTAGATATGTATCCTGTGGAATTACTCATTCAGAAATTCTTACACCAGTTATTTCTTCATCTTTTTATGCTAAGCCTGTCTTCTCTTTGTTTCCTAGCCAGCTCCTTTGTCATTCTGTCCTCTTATTTCCCTGTATCTTTCGTCTCATTTTTCTCAGAAACTTGAACAATGACTAACTCTGCTTGAAGCAGGCAAATTTGGAATTAGGTCCTTTGTCAAGCAGTTCTTATATTGTAGTGTGTTTATAACATGGTATACATATGTCAAATATAAAATTTTTGTCTATACTGTACTCATCTGCCACTTTCTGAAGAAAATTTTATTTAAAATAGTCTATCCAATACAACTAACTAGCTTTTTTCTTTTAGGGGTTTGTATATAAGTAACTAGTAATGAGTAATCATTCATATATTTAAAGTGTCACTTGTAAGTGTATGCTTGTTTAATTATTTCTCCAGATTTGATATTTTTATATCCTTGCTAAGTTATAATTGAGAAATAATATGTTTTGCTTTATATTTCTTTTTTGTTGTTGTTGTTAATATCATTGAGATTGAACTTTTCCCTATTTGTTTAGTTGGGAACTATATCAAGAATTGTGAAGTTTATGAGATTTGACCTTATATTCAAGCTAACAAGTTAACTTTCACAGTTTAATGGATGCTGTTTGAAGATACGGGAATCCTGAATCACAGACAAAAGACTTTATTTCTGACAGCAAGAGTAGTAGCGAGAATATCATCATTTTCACACTGGTTCTCTGAGCTACGATTCTCACTGAGAAACAACAAAAGGGAACCATATAGAAACAGTACCTGCACATGCAATAAGTCATGTTATAGGAGAGGATCACTCAGTTTAGTGAACCCAGGTCTTTTCTAATGGACAGTAAGCATACCTGACATTTGCTCTGGAAGGAGAAAACTATCACTGTATAAACATCCTGGGAATGATCCTACAGGAAAAAAAGGGCAGTCAGTGATTCACAAGACATTCAAAATTGGAGCGATCCATGGACAGTCATCTTCAATAGTCTAGTTATCCTTTTCTTTACTTATTAATGCTTTAGCATTTCACATAATAATAGAGTAATCGTATTTTCTCTTTGCCATCGGTATCTTTCTGTTTTCTGTTTGAGATGTGTTTGGTTTTTTTTGCAGTGCTTCTGATCAGACCTAGAGCTTAGCTCATGCTAGGCAACTGCTCTACTACAGAGCTACATCCCTGAGATGTGCATTTTTAATTCATAGATCTTTAAAATTTTACATAATTTAATCTGACCAACTTGTCATTTGTGATTTCTTCTGGCATACTTCTTCCTCTCTTTTCTTGCCCATATACTTTTTCTCTGTGAATCTTTCCTACCTCTGTTTTTCTTGCCTGAAACTGAAAGGTTTTAGGAGAGAGTGATATTATTTTATTTAACTAATTAACCATATGTCTTTAGAGTTTCTTACCTCCCTACTTTCTCTAGTTTTCAGAGATTTTTTCTTCTTTAGTATCTTCCTCCACATTTGGGGGTTTGTTGTTGTTGTTGTTTATTGCACTGGGAATTTTTTTTGGTTTTTGAGATGGGATCTCACTGTGTTGTCCAGGTTGGCTTCAAACTCCTGGGCTCAAGAAATCCTCCCACATCAGCCTCCTGAGTAGCTGGGACTACAGGTGTATGCCACTACACCTGGTCCCTTCACAGTTTTGAGTTGTGCAAACTTTAGGGAGATTGTAGCATTCTAGCAGACTAGAGAGAGAGAGAGTGCTGGGAGAGCAAATAAGCTGATACATGTACTACCATTCATAGTTGACTTTCTGTTGGATGTACTGGAATTCCTAGAACATAAACATATCTCAAAGTTCAAGCTTATGATTATCTCACTAAAAGTTTAATTGCTTAAGTTAGTTTAAAATATTATTTTTAGGGATTATTTTCAGAAGTAGCCAATGTATCTATTGTGCTTTCTTATTTAAAAATTACCGTATGATTTATTTTTCAGGCAAATAGAAATTGCATAGCAATTGCTTCCAGCCATGATGTTCAAGAACTGGATGTTTCTGGAATTCTGGCTACACAGATTTATACTTGGGTAGATGATGATGTAGAATTGGAAACCAAAGGGTATGCTTATACTTTGTTTTTATTCAAAAATGTTATATTTGGGACTATATGTGCTGAACTATAACCTTTAAAAGATTTTTTAAAAGGAATGTTACTAAAGTATAAGCAGAGTAGAACCCAATGTTGTAAAAAGTAAATAATGGGTGGCAGGAGCTTCAAAAAGGAAAGTAAGAGTTAGGAGAGAGAGAGTAAGTGAAGGGAATGGAAATTGAGTATGAAAGTCATTGTGAGTTAGGAGTAAGAGTTGAAGAAAATTTATTTTAAAGGGAAAGAGTCAATGTTAGAGCTCTCAGATGAAAAAAAAAAAAAAAAGAAGTGATAGGTTGTTTTCATTCTGGTTGACATTCCTTTATAGATCAGAAGATTTCTTGGTTATACATGCTCATGATGATTTAACAGCTGTTCAAGGCACAACGCCATATACACATAGTAATCCTGGCACTCCAATCAACATGCCGTGGCTTGGTAGTACACAGACTGGCAGAGGAGCATCTGTGGTATGTAAAGTTAAAGATATTTAGGTTTTTGATAGCTCTGCCATTTTGGTTAATGGATAAAAAAGGATAATTGAAAGTTTTTTTAAAAGTTTATTTTAAAATAAATTTTAAAAGTAAGCATACATAAAATACATAAAATTATTTTAAAAGTATGCTTTGTTTTAAAACCAAAGAAGTATATTTTAATTAATAATTTTTTGAAACCTAATGGTTCAGAGCGGGTTTAATCATGGTATGGCCCACAGGATAGATTAAAACGAGCCCATAGTCTATATTTAAATAGCTACATCACTAAGAGCAATGCTTAATTTTTTTTTTTTTTTTTTAGGTATTTGGGGGTGTAACCCATGGCCTTACACATGTTAGACAAGTAATCTAACACAAGCTGTGTTCTCAACCCTTAATTTTTCAATGGGTCTAAAAAAAAGTCATGCATTTTATGGTTTCATGAAAATTTCATGAAATTCTATTTTAGTGTACATTTATGAATAAATTTTTATAGGAAAAGCCAAGACCCTTTATTTATATTTTTCCTGTGGGTGCCTTCATGGTACAGTGGCATTATTAAGAAACTATATGCTCATAAAGCTTGATACATTTATTGTCCAGCACTTTATAAAAAATGGTTTGCCAATCCCTGGTCTAGAAAATATCATTTAATAGTAAAAATGGTCCCTTTTTAGTTGTAGATGGACACAATGCCTGTATTTTATTTATTTATTTTCTTTATGTTGTGCTGAGGATCAAACCCAGTGCCTCACATGTGCGAGACAAACACTCTACCACTGAACCACAGCCCCAGTCCTTTTCTTCATACAGAGACAAAATATCTTTTTTTTTAAACAAAAACAATTTTTTTAAAAAAAAATAAGCAAAATGTGATATAAATATTAATGGAAACAGATTTTTTTCTGAAGTGAAGGGGGATCTATTTGAAACCTGATCACCTAATAGGTGATCCATATTTATACCTTCAAGATTTTTCTTTATTGATACTTAAGGTATAGGAATTGATTCATAGAATCAAAGAAACACATGTTGTTTCAGTGACTTTCTAAGTGGCAGGGGTTTTTTTGTTGTTGTTGTTTTAAAATTTTATAAGTCCTGTAAAATATTTTCCCTGACCAAAAAAAAAGTTTTATCAATTAGTTTGGGTAATTGTTCAAGGAAAGGCTCTATCATCTTTAATAATACTTTTTAATATTTGGTACTTAATGCAGTTCTTTATAGCTAATAAAACCATATAATTCTTTGCATTATTTCTTGTAGCTGTTTTCTCCTCACTCATTCATCCTTACTCCTTACTCATTTCATCCTTACTCATTTAAATGAAATTTGAGTTTTAAAAAAATCAAGTGTTTCAATTTGTCACTGTGTTGAATTTGTGGTAGAGCTCAATTTAAAGCCCTCTACTCTTCTTAGTTTAGTGATTTCAGGAGCCACTGTTTTAAGGATTAAATTGAATTTGAAAAGCAATTTAGTAATTATTCAAATGACATGACTTGGTTAATATAGTTGGATTTTTTTCAGTTGACAGATATGTTTAAATTTGTGGAATTTAATTATAATATTTTGAAGTCAAATTTAAAGAGAATATACAGAAGATATGCATAGAAATAATAGACTCTTTTTTTTTCCAGCTTCAGAGAATACAGTACAATTCCTATAACAGCTTTCTTGCTGGTCTCTTGCACTCTGTTCTATACAGAGCAACAAATGTTTCTAAAGCATCAATCAGATTGTTGCTCCCCTCCTTAAAAATTCAACTTTTTTTTTTTGTAGATGGACATAATACCTTTATTTTATTTATTTTTATGGGTTGCTGAGGATCGAATGAATCCAGTGCCTCATTCGTGCTAGGCAATCACCCTGCCGCTGAGCTACAGCCTCAGCCCTTTCCTATACAACTTTAAAAGAACAAGTCATTAACATGGCCTCTAATGCATTAAAAGTTTTAGCCCTTGCCTGCCTCTGCAGCCTTGTCTCCTTCTTCACTTGGTTTTTCTTATTGTATTTACATTGGCTTCTATTTCTCAAACTCATTAGTCTTACTGCCATGTCAGAACTTCTACTTTGTCTTCTGCTTAACATGCTCTTTTCCTCTATTTTACCATTTAGATCTCAATTCATGTTCCCAGAGATTTACCTGACTTCCCTAGTAAAGATATCTGTCCCTCATCACTGCATCCCCTATCATCCATTATTATCTAATTTTATCATCTTTATGAAAGTACTTATTAATTGTTGAAATCAGCAAGTCATCATTGTTTAGTTGTCTTTTTATACCCTCTGGTATGTAAGCTCTTTTAGAGGTTATATTCTGACTGCCTTATAGACTGATGATCCCTAAGAATAGTGTTGGACATATTGTCAGTGAATAGAAAAATTTGTTTATACTCCAAATCATTATAAATAGAAATTATTTTTGAAATTTCTGTTAGGGTTGAATTTTTTTCCTGTCTACATCTTAGGACAGCTTTCTAGTTCTGGTTGTCATGATTTGTGAACATAAATATTGGGATTGACTCATCCTTTTTTCAAGAAAGCAAGGCCAATAGAATAAGGTCCTTCTCTTTTATATGAATTTCCGCTGGTAGTTAATGATTTTTTTTCTTTTCTTTTTTTTTTTTTTTTTTTTTTGTCTTACAATGTTCAATATGTGCTTTCAGGAAAAAAAAATTGCTCCTTGGCGCACATGGCGCACACCTGTAATCCCATCGGCAAGGGAGGCTGAGGCAGGGGAATATCAAGTTCAAAGCCAGCCTCAGCAATGGCAAGGCATTAAGCAAGTCAATGAGATCCTGTCTCTAAATAAAATACAAAATAGGGCTGGGGATGTCACTCAGTGGTTGAGTGCCCCTGAGTTCAATCCTCTATACCCCGCCCCCCCCCCCCCCCCAAAAAAAAAAAGATGAAAAAAAGAACAGGAACTTTTAGGCATCTTTAAGAGCATGGAATTTAAATATGAGATTTAAAAAAAGTGATACTAATCAATTTTTCTTTTTATCTGGAGAATTGACAAAATATTTTTTTAATCCTATCATTCTACTGACTTATGAATACTAATACAAAAAAAGTATATTTGTTATAATCAACTTCTGCTGTTTGGGAGTATGATTGCATTCATATATATTCTAGTTTTTCTATCCCTCACCAGTTCTGCTGACCTAGTAGTCTCTTTTCTTCCTACCAACTCCTCATCTTCTATACAGATTTCAAGCTAATTGAACAATTTAATAGCCCAAAGCTCAACAACAAAAAATCTACCTGAGACTTAGAATATCATGTAACTATAATTATGGTGCAGTACAAGTAAGAAGTAGTCTACAAATTAAAAATTTCCCTTTAATTTTGTGTATTTTTAAAATTCTTATTTAACAAGCTAGTTAAATCATTCAAAGCATGATTTTTAAATGAGTTAATAGCTGGGTGTGGTGGCACATGACTTAATCCCAGCAGCTGGGAAGGCTGAGGCAGGAGGATTGCAAGTGTGAAGCAATTTAGCTAGTCCTAAGCAACTTAGCGAAACCCTGTCTCAAATATAAAGTAAAACAGGGCTGAGGATGTGACTCAGTGGTTAAGCGCCTCTGGGTTCAATTTCTGGTACTATAAATAAATAAATAAATAATAAGATGAGTTAATTGTCCCAAACTATCAAAGTTAACTTGAATTTCTATTTATCTCTTTTATTTTCACATGCTTCTGTCTTTTTAACTTTATGTTATTCATGAATATTCCAGTAAATTTAGTACAATCAGAGAATTGGCAGGAGCACCATTAAACAACTTAATATTAATCTTAATGTTAATATGTTTAGTAAGTTTAGTATTCATAATGGAAGTTGTAAAGTCACATAAAAATAAATAATTGACTTTCCTGTCACTATTTTACTTTTTTATCTTTTTCTATTTATTATCTTTTTTTTTTTTTTTTGGTGTTGGATATTAAAACCAGGACTGCACATATGCTAGGCAAGAGCTCTACCACTGAGCTACACCCCCAGCCCTATATTTGAAATTCTTAATCTTTTTATTGAAACTATAAAATAATTCTTTTTTTTTTTTTTTTGCCAGATGATTAAGAAAGCCATTAATAATGTCAGAAGAATGACTTCACATCCAACTCTTCCTTACTGTAAGTTGACAATAATTAGCATTGATTCTTAATTTTATATGTACTTTGGGCAATTTTTATTATAAGAAATTTATGGAAAACTTTTAGTTTCAATTGAAAGACATTTATTCTACTTTGATGGAGAATATTTTCTAGTAAATAAAATCTTCACTTGAAAATTGGATAAAAACAGAAAAAAGGTATTTTAATGAATTAATAGAGAAAGCGAGCTTAGTGCAGTAAATTGGGACATTTTGTCTTTTTAACATTTTTTGGGTTCCTTAGTGTTAAATTGTAGTTGATAATTATTGTTTTAATAAATAAGATTACTGCCGTCTTTCATTACACACATCTTTACCAGACCTTGGCCATTTATTGCATGATTATAATCAGTTTGTAATTTATTAACTTTTATAGTACACATAGAAAATGGTTATTAGTCAACTCCTATATGGTAAGTTAGCATATGTATTTTTTTTTTTTTCATTTTTTTCTTCCTAGGTATCTCAAAATTTCTCTTTCATTAGCCAAGAACTTAATTTATGGGGAACTTTTTGGAGGTATTAACTGGTGGGTTGGAATTAATACTCATATTGTTATGTGAGTAACATAACATAACTCCTTTTTCTTCTGCTCCCGAGAATTTTTCAGAAATTAAACTAATGCATTCATTGTTTCCTGAATTGGAAAGCAACTGTTTCTCTACATATGAATTTTTTTTCCAACCTGAGCAATTATACAACTCTTTTAATACCAGTGGGACGTCTTTTAACTCATCTCAATTAATGACACTCTCTACTTAGAGTCAGATTCTACCAGTTAGGGACTTGGCCCAACAAGACTGCACTCAGTTACAGATACCCATCACAAGTATTGGCTTTTTGCCTATACTCTTCACATACTGGCTGTAAGTTGGGAGTCCTATGACTCCCTCCTTGGGTTTGATTAATTTGCCAAAACAATTCATAGAACTCAGGAAAATACTTTATTTAAATTTGCTGGTTGTTTATTGTGTTAGTTAGGTTTTCATTGCTGTGACCAGAATACCTAACAAGAACAACTTAGAGGAGGAAAATTTTATTTTGGTTTATGGTTTCAGAGGTTCAGTCTATAGTGGGCCAATTCCATTACCCTGGCCCAAGGTGAGGCATGACATCATGGCAGAAGGCACAATGAAACCTACTCAGCTCATGGTGACTGGGAAGCAGAAAGAAAAAGAGGAAGAGGCTGCAGGGAGGAGGTCTCCAGTGATGCACCTCCCCAGACCATCCCCCCACCTGCCTACAGTTATTGTCTAGTTAGTCCATTCAAAGTAGGATGGACCGATTATGTTATAGCTCTCATAATCTAGTCATTTCACGTCTAAATATTCCTGCATTAGAGCTTTTGGGAGACACTCCCAAATTCATAGCATTTTGCTCCTGGCCCCCCCCCCCCCAAATTCATGTCCATCTCACAGTGCAAAATGCATTCAGTTCCTCTCCAAGAGTCCCTATAGTTTTAACAGTTCCAGCATTGCCCAAAAGTCTAACTCTAAATTCTCATCTGAGACTCAAGCTAAATTCCAAATCCCTTTACAAATTATAAGCAAGTTACATATATGCATGTGCAGTAGACAATGGCACAGAGTAAACATGCTCATTCCAAAATGGAGGAGTGGCAACATACACAGGAGGGATAGGGCAAAAGCAAGACCAAAACCCACCCAGGCAAACAGGCCAGGTAATTCTGCATATAGCTTCTAGGACACATGGCAACAAGGTATTCTCTGCACTGGACTGGGACGGCCCTGTCCTTTTGGCCTTGCTGTTTGCAGGGCACATGTGCTGTCTTTTAGACTGGTTCTTTCTGCAGCCAGCAGCTTTTCTCATTAAGCAGTTCATATGGCATCTCTTAATTCCTGGAGTCTCCATTGACTTTACTTTAACACCTTCATATATCACACTCTTAGGGACAGGTTCAGGGACACAGACACTGCTATACTTTGCCTGGCTTCTCACTGCCTTTGAAATCTGGTAGAAGCCTCCATGTTCCCTTAACTTAACTTTAGTATCCTGCATTCCTGCAGAACCAGCGTCATGTAAATGATGCCAAAGTTTGCCTCCAGCTTGGAGCTGTAGCTTGGTGCCCTGGAATCACAGCTGCAGCAGCCTCTGAGTACCTGGGCAGCTGAGCATGGAGAAACAACTCCCTAGGACCCCAAGTGTAAGCAGGTTGCCCCTAGAATCTGTTCTCAAAGGAGATTTTCCTTTACAACCTTGAGCCTGCAGTGGGTGCGATCTTGCAAATTCCTAAATTGCCCTCAAGCCATTTTTTCCTATTGTGTCTTTGTAAAGTTCTTAACGTCTCTTTAGTAGCTATGATCTCTTCAACACTCACAACTTTCTTGACTTAAGTTTTCTTTCACTGTTCTGGACAAAAGGATTTTTTAAAAACCCTTGGGCTCTTCTTTCTGCTCCTGATTCTCACAGTAAACCTAGCAAGAAGCTACCAGCAAAATCTGTGCTACTACCTTAATGCTGCGCTGCCTTGAAATTTCTTCTACTGAATTTCTTCTATCACCTTTAAATTTGGCCTCACCTAACATCTCAAGACACTAGCAAAATGTGGACAAGTTCTTTGCCAGAATATAATACAGATGGCCTCTAGTCTGATTCCTAGTAGAATCCTCATTGAAACCTCAGAAGTACAATCTTTATTGTGTGCATTCTTACCATATTCTGTTCTGAGCTTCCACTGGAATCTCCCAGTATGCTCTGTTTACAACATTGGCTTCTCCAACCTCCATCTCCAAACATATGCAAACCTCTCCTGCAAACCAGGTCCAAAGATTCTGAACCACATGGTTAGGTTAGGCATAGCAACTATGCCACTCATGATACTAATTTCTGTATTAGTTTGGTTTTTGTCACTGTGACCAGAATACCTCACAAGAACAACTTAAAGGAGGAAAAGTTTATTTTGGCTCACAATTTTAGGGATTCAGTTCATTGTGGGCCAACTCCACTGCTCCAAAGTGAGGTATAACATCATGGCAGAAGAGTGCAGTGGAGGAAAGCTACTTAGCTCACAGAAGCCATGAAGCAGAGAAAGAGGAAGGGGCCACAGGAAATATGAACCCTTCCAGGGCACACCCCCTAGTGAACCATCCCTCCAGCCATGTCCCACCTGCCAATAGTTACTACCAAGTTTGTCCATTCAAAGTAGGATGGAGTAATTAGGTTACACCTCTCATAATCTAGTTATTTCACTTCTGAATATTCCTGTATTAACTTAGGAACATTTGGGAGACACCTCATATTCAAATCACAATGATTTTAAAAGAATATTATAAAGTATACTAAGGAAGAAATATGTAGAGCAAGATACAGAAGAGTCCCGAGGGCAGGGACTTCTATTTCCCTGGAGTTGGGGTAGAAAGTACCACCTTCCTAGCATTTGGATACATTTACCAACCAAGTAGCTCATCAGGTCTTGTTCAGGAGTTTTTTATAGAGTTTAGTCTTCATATAAGGACTACAGCTTATCACTCTAACAGCTACTTCCATTTTTTCAAACAATAATTAGGACCAATTTATTTGCAAAATAAGCCTAGTGTCATTAAACTTGACCTGATTATTTATATAAGTACAGCAAGAATAGACTGATTGCACATACTTTTTTTGAAGTCTGCTTTGTGGGAACACTAACAAGGAATCTTGGGGCTGGAGATACAGCTCATAGGTATTGCACTTGCTTAGCATGTGGAAGGCCCTATGTTTGATCCCCAGCACCACACACAAACACTAAAGTACAGTAAGGCATCTCATATGAGACTTCAAAAACCTTTAGAGGTTAGAAAACCAACCCAAGTACTTTGCCTTCAGTTGTATACATTTGGATGAATCCCTCTCTTCTCAAGGTCTGAAATATCCTGGGATTCCTACCCAGAAGTGGTAATCCTTACTTATCTGTAAGGCAACCATGTCAATGAACTATGTACACACAGTAGTAAGCCTGTGTGTGTGTGTGTGTGTGTGTGTTATTTCAAATTGCTTTAAAATTATCTAATCATCTGATTCTATGCATTCTCAATGACTTGTTAATATAACGAATGCTTTCAGTTTTGTACTGTTACAAAAAGACATCTTTTTTCCCAGTGCTAGGGATCAAAAACTCAAGGCCTCACTAAGCAAGCACTCTGCCAGTGAACCAGCCTCAGCCCCAGAAAGAAAATTCTTATTGAACCTGTGCAAATATCTATATTGCTATGAAGATAAGAATACTCAATAATACCTTTCAAATTCTGGAGGGATCAAGTAGGGAGAAAACATGACTTTTCTTCTTCATTCACAAAAGTATACTATACAAAATTTCTATAAACTGTTAGTACCCTAAAGAAAAGAAAGTATTCCTGAAAACAAAACATTATAAAGAAGAAGCAGTGTTTCAAACAAAATAAATCTTTAAAAAACAAAATTTTTTAATTTGATTTTTCAGTCCCATGTCATAAATTCTTGATCTTCATTAGCAATTTCCTGAATCTTCAGTTTTTCCTATTAGAGTTCTGGACATTCTCATCTACTCTAGTGGTATGATCTTAAAGTTACCAGGAATATGTATGTTTGAGAAACTTCCATGAATCTCCTTGAAGATAGACTACTTAAAAGTTGTAATTGTTTGTAAAAGCTTTCAGGAAAGCATCAGGGTAAAATGATTAACTGTTTCTCAATGACAAAAATCATGACCATCATTAAAAATTTGATGATAATCAATTTATTATATTAATAACACAGTTGACAAGGAGATTATTTCTATGGCATAAAACATTTTAATATTACTGAAAATATGAATGAAAACATTATACCAGGTCATATCAGGTTTCTAGAAATTTCATAAAATTTCTGGAATACTTTGTAACATTTACCCAAGCATAAGCTAAGATTAAACATCATCTTTACTTGACAGTGCTTCTCGAGCAATTTCACATAGTAAATCAGCCTAATTATTTTAATATCACTCTTTTTATAGGTCTAGGGAAC